TAACTCTGAGCGTCGTCAATTGAAGTTTCATCAATATGAGTTTTATTCAACGTCGAGAAAGACCAAAAGTTTGTTGGTCATAATTTTATTCTTAGCTACAATGATCATACATAGTCCCCTCATGAATTATCTACCACCTCCGTTCCCATTTTGCTGGCCCGGATGAGTCCATTGATTTGCTCCGTTTTGGTTTACCCCATTCTGCTGAGCGAAGAATGCCGGATTTATGAAAGCACCTGCTGGTAAGGGAGGAGGAGGAGGCATACCTGCCCAAGGATTCTGTGCTTGAGCAAAAGCTTGTTGTGTTTGCTGAGGCTGTTGGTATGGTTGCTGATATGGTTGCTGATAACCTTGCGGGTACATTGGCCATACTGGAGGTTGTTGAGATGGGTATTGTGGTGATGGTTGGGGTTGATACTGCTGTGGCTGATTTGGATTGCTGTAAATATTCGAAGGTGGTGGAGGTGGAAAGTTAGGCTTTGGGGGTAATGAAGCTGATTGAGAGTTGAATGCCCCCGGACTTGGAGCAGAAGGGGGTAATGCATGGCTTGATTGCGATGGATTATTACGAGAATTGGTGCTTCGGTCATTATGTCCACCACCTCTTCCTCGGCCTCTTCCCCAATCCCCTCTGCCTCTGTCTCCACGACCTCTTCCTCTGCCCCTACCTCCATGATCGCCACGTTGACTTGATCTGTTATAGTGCGAACCCTCTTGAGGAGCTTCACTACCACTTGCCCCACCAGTAAATCCAACCGGTCTAGTAAGAGTTTTGTAAGGGCCATCCTCGGCTTCGTCGTAGTTCAACACGGCGCTGTTGTTATCAGGGGTATATGTCTTTTGCGAAGTATGCCCACCACGTGAGTTACCGCCATTCTGCTGAGTCTTACCACCTCTCTTCTCTGCCTTCTTTTGCTTTATCATTCGCTTATGCTCAGCCTCCTTTTCATCGTCAGAGAATTCCATTTCCTCATCGCCAACTTCTTCGTCATACAAGTTTGAAGCATCTGTACCTTTGTATGCTTTCAAAGCTTGTGTAAAAACGTATGTTGAATGCTGTTCAGAGTAATACACCGTAGTTCCAACAGATAGTCCTGCTTCGGCAATTGCAGCTGCATTCGTGAATCTTACACAATACAATGGTTGTTCCACTCTGCCCAACGTTTCTGACACTACACCTATAACGCTGCGATCCTGTAAACATAGTACAGACTCTTCTCTCAGTACCTGATATTCTCCACTTGTGAAAGCTTTGATGAGAATGATATTATCCACCACTCCTTCCACATCTCCCAATTTTGTGATAGGCATCTCAGGCGTTATTGTGACATCTGGTTTGGGTATCACCTCTTCTGGGACTTCGTTCTTCGTACGTAGGTGGCCTCCGGTACGCTTTTCTCCACGTGCCATTCCCTCATCATCTGAACCCCCATCGCCTTCCGTCATTAGGATTTTTGCTTGTTCTTCTGGACTTAATAATTTGTAGGCATTTTCTCCATCCTCCTCCTCGCTATCGTCCTCGGATGAACTATCACTTGAGGAATCTGACGAAGACTCATATGGAGAGGAGTCAACCTCCCATTCTGGGTGTTCCTCTTCTGTCGCTGGTGCTGCAGATGCATTGTTCGTTATAACATCCGCAGTCACAGTCGCAGGTTGTAGCAGGCCTCCTAGCATCGCCTCTAAAGCATGGGTCAAATCCGGTTGATTGGCATGGCTCTCCGGTACTTGAGTATCGCTAGTACTAGGTTGAGGTCCTAATGATTCTTCAAACGGCATCTCTTTCGCTTGCTCAACATGAATGTCTGTGGTAGGTTGTGACGGCGCAATGTCCATCGCGTCGTTTTCGGCGTCTTTCGTGTCCACTATGGCTTCTGCTAGAGAAGCTTGTTCAATCTCCAGATCATTTTCACTTTTTATCTGCTCCCTGCCAACTTCTGTCTCCTGTATGATTTCTTTCTTGATTTCTGGAAGGATTTCCGGAGTCGCATCATTGGTCATAGAAGTCGCAAATTCTTGAGGTAGAGGTTCGGCATCCGCCATTTTAAAATCCTCCTGGGGTTTATCATGACCACTTTCCGGTAACTTATCTTGTGATTTGGCCGATTCTTCTAAGTGGTTCTCTGCAACGTCGTTCTCCGCTGTTGTGGTTGAATTCTCAGTCTTTGGCGCATTTCCAAGTCGTCCTAGTCCAGGTATATTGAAAAGAGTGGATGAAGATGAGGCAGGTTCTTCACTCTCCCCTTTTACGTGAGACTTCTCCTCTTGCGGAGGAATTGTCGAAATGGAGTCCGAGTTACTCATGCTTCCAGTTGAAATCGAAAACACTCTGTGAAAGGACTTGGTGACGGTCTATTGCGCTCGAGTATTTTCCGTGGTAGACGTTATCAATTGACTCGAATTCGAATATGCGGTACCAGTGACAATATAATATTATAAGAGTACAATATAATATAGGTATTCAAAAGAAAGTTTAACAAAAACTTGATGCAACGCAACACTTTGATATTTCACGAAATATTGACCAGAAAGTTTTTGAACTTCAAAATTTCCAAATATTCCCCGACGCTAAAGGTCCAAATTGACTGGGGTTATCTAATCATCTAATCTTAGCGCAAGCGATAAGCTTTTATGGATTCTTATCAGTGTGCACAACTCAAGCTCTTCATTTTATGTAAGCTTTATGTAAGGAAGTTACCTTTGTAGGATTGAGCTAAGATACACTAGAAACTAGAACACGATGTCATCGTTAAAGTCTGCATGCATTGAATTGATTTTCGAATATCGATCAAAAAAGCAAGTCAATTCCAACAATGGCCCCTCCGCAGCCAACAAAATTGGGCTCATCTAAAGGAGCAGAAGCTTCTACAGCTTCACATTCAAAAAAGAAAAAGTCAGTATTTCAGAATAGTTATGTGTGGCATATTCTAACCAAGCTTCAATAGACCTGCCACTCCATTCGCAGTTCAACCTATCAGCGCATTTTATGTCTTTCTCGGAGCAAATATATTGGCAGCTTTGTATGCTCCTATACAGGATTGTGACGAGACCTTTAATTACTGGGAACCTACACATTATCTCAGTCATAGCTATGGATTACAAACTTGGGAGTATTCTCCGGAATTTGCGATTCGAAGTTGGCTATATGTTACCATCCATGCCCTAATGGGGAATTTCAGAAGGCTACTCCCCTTTCCCACGAAGGTACGGAGAAATCAAGTATTTCAAGACGGTCAACATTCTAATTGGGATATAGGTTGGCGAATTTTATTTCATTCGATATTGTCTCGCATTCATATGCGCTCTGTGCCAAACGCAAATGTTTCGAGTCATTAACGGAACCTTGAATCCGCGAGTCGCCATGTTCTTCATGATGGCCAATATCTTCAGCCCTGGATTCTTTCATGCCTCGGCCTCCTTTTTACCATCGAGCTTTGCTATGTATACAACTATGCTTGGAATGGCCGCTTTCATGAACTGGAGAGGGGGCTTGAAGACTGCGCAGGGTATCTTCTGGTTCGCTGTCGGTGGAATTCTCGGTTGGCCATTCGCTATGGCTTTGTCTGCCCCTTTCTTGATTGAAGAGGTAATTTTCGCTAGCTTGAGCGACAGAGATGCCGTCGTCGATACCGTGATGCGATTCGTAAGAGGAATTGTTGGAGGATTGATTGTTTTGGTAAGCTTTCCCCAAGTTCGTCTTCCTACAACCTCTAACATTGTAACAAGTTCTTTGAATTCGTCGTTTCTGGCTTTTTCTATAGAAAATTAGTGATTGTCCCTCTGAACATTGTTCTCTATAATATCTTCAGTGGCGAAGGAAGAGGTCCTGAGATCTATGGTACTGAGCCATGGCATTTTTACATTCGTAATCTGATTCTCAACTTCAATATCTGGTTTGTGCTTGCAATTTCAGCACTCCCGCTTTTCATACTTCAGAAATTATTTGGGTCCCGAGAAGGCGGCACCACAACAGCTCTTCGTAGCGTTGTTTTTATGGCACCATTTTACATTTGGCTTGCAATTTTCAGCTTCCAACCACATAAGGAAGAACGATTTATGTACCCAGCCTACCCATGCCTTGCACTTAATGCGGCCATGTCACTTCACATCCTTTTGGCGGCTTTCGGTCATTCGGATCCCAGAACCTTGGTCGGTAAGATTCCAGCTAAATTGAAGCTATTGTTTGTAAGCTTCTTCATCATCGGATCTGTGGATATTGGCGTAGCAAGAATTTATGGGATTTATACCGCGTACTCGGCGCCCTTGAAAATCTATAGTCCTCTCCAAAATGGTACGCTTGGGGCACGAGGGGACTCTGTATGCTTTTCCAAAGAGTGGTACAGATTTCCCAGCTCTTATCATTTGCCGAACGGCATGAAAGCAAAATTTGTAAAGAGCGAATTCGATGGTCTTCTTCCCGGTGAGTTTTCCGAAGCTACTACGGGATTCGGAATCTGGTCGACATGGCTCATCCCGTCGGGTATGAATGACCGAAACATCGAAGACATGAGTAAATATGTAAGTAAATCTCTTCGCAAATATTCTTTCTCATATTTTGTAAAAGAGGCTAATATTACAATCAGGTTGACCTCAAAACCTGTAACTTTCTGGTCGATACCTACTATCCAGGCTCTGTAGCCTCCGAGCTTGAGCCTCACTACATCATGGATTCCGAGAACTGGGAGTCCGTAAAATGTGAACCATTCCTCGATGCATCGAGAACTCACATTCTGGCACGAACCATATGGTTACCAGATTTACCATTTATTCCAGAGAGATTTCGCAGGAACTGGGGAAGTCACTGCTTATTGAAACGAGCACCAAAGAAGGCAGTTATCAGCTCTGTGTAACATTTCTTGTATATCAAAAGTTTGTGTTTGGATTTCAATTTGCTGTCCATGTATTTACAATATCCTATCAAGGTATGTACAAATCACAATAAGAGCCTAGTTTTCATAGGCATCTCCTTCCTAGTCCCTTATTTGTGCGTCATCAACCTCCTAATCAACAGTTGCTCCATTGAAATAATGAATCGTCTCATCTACACATCCCGTTGGCGTCAAATACGCATAATTTCCCAAATTGATCCACAACTCCTGAGCGCCACAAACCAACCACGCACTCAGATTCGGCCTACTAATGCTAGCTACACTCCATGTTACCGCATCTCCACTAAATGCAAACGTACCAAACGTATTTTGAGTGGTATTGAATGTCATAGATAATCTAACAGCAGATGAATTCGCGGGTGGTTGGACATTTGCATAGAGGAACGTGTTGGGTGCGATTAACTCAACTAGCTGACCAGATACGATTTGGTACTGGCCGGCGGTGGATCTGTCGGCTAGGAGAGCAGTGCCGGGCTTGGCAGTTGGGGAGGCTTGGAGGTAGGAACTACAAGGTGATGATGAATCAGATTTTGTCCCCCAGATGATATTGTTTGATTTTCCTTTCCGTCTCCGGAATTGAGATGATCTCTGGGATCAATGCTTTCAAGCCCATTTCTAAGTTATAAAAGCGGGAATACTGACTGAAAGTTCGGGGTTTCAACGGCACGAATCCAATAGTAGCCACTTTGGAGAGTCGCTCCCGGGTATGAGGCTACACCGGTGGTAGTAGTCGTGGAAAGTGTAGTAGTTGTTGAATGTGTGGTGGTTGGTGTACCAGTAGTGGTTGTAGCCGGTGTTGTCGCAATCGTTGTTGATGATGATGCGGTGCCAGGAAGGCATTGGGAATAGTCTCCATACAGTGGTCAGTAGGTATAATCCAGGCGGAAAGGTAATGAATTACATGGACTGGTTGCATAGTTAGCGAATGCTAGGAAGCTAGATGGTTCAATTGAAAACTCTATGACGGGTATGACAAGTGAGGAGCGGGTATAATCTTACTTGGAATAAGTACACACATAACCCGATACACAAGTCGTTGCGCCGGTCCAGCCTGTCCCTCCACCTACGATCCGGAATTTATTAGCGATTTCTAGGAGATCTATCCTCCTTTCACAACTCTTACTTACACTGGCCCCATGCAGCTTGCTGTGCATACACATTTTGAATTCCTGCAATCATGAGCAGAGTTGCTTGTAACTGACTTTTCAAATACATATTGATAAAGAAGCAATTTTTCTTTTCCAATTTCTATAGAATGAATTCAAAGAAAGCGATGGAAAAATGAATTCTTATATTCAGCGGTTCTATAGCAATATCTTACTCGGACCGACAGCCCCGTAGAGGCAGAATGTATATAAATTGAATTCTTGGTCTCATGACCTGTGACCTCTAGGGAGCTATAAATTTGAAACGGATATTGACAAGGTAAAAGAAGAAGAAAAATCATTTCAACGAATTTGTAAGTTCTGAAATATGATTTCTTCATTTTTTATACGTGATGAGACTAGCATTACAGGTTGTTCGCTTGCGCATTAAAGCAGCATCTCAAATTGTAGTCACATCCCATATTCATCAGGCACGGCCGGCAATGTCGAAAGAAGTAGGTGCGACTCTGAGTCTATATAATTCCGAAATTATAGCACTGGTTATGATTCAATTCTCTTCATTACAGCTAAGAATATTCCCAAACCCCCACTTTCCAGGAATTTTAGTCTCTACAGTACAAATTCAACATGATTAGTTTTCCAAAGTACTATGTAGTCATAGGTGCCAGTCCAGGTGTCGGGTATGAATTCACACGGCAGTTACTCTTGGCACATCCCCAGAATATCGTCTTCGCAACTTATAGATCTTTTGAAACGCCACAGACCTTGTATGATCTCGCCAAGGCACTTAAAGATCCGTCTAGATTACGGATATTGAAGTGCGATTTTATGAATGAGCAGACTATCAAGGATCTCTGTAATATACCTCAGTTGATGGGTCAGACTATCGAAACAGTAATCATTAATGATGGAGGCATGGGTTGGGGTACAGTGATTGAAGGGTGAGTTGTCGCTGTGATGAACTGTGCGTTTTGTGTAGGAGCATCTTGGTGCCGTACCTCCCACTAAGAGGGATCGAGAAGGCTTTCGCAGGGTATACTTCGTGGTATTAGTTCAATACCTCCTGCCACTTTACACAATGATCTCGTGGCTTTGCAGAGACACTTTGGACAAGAGATATATGATCATCCCTTCACTTCTGCATTGCGCTAATGAGCGTGTAATACTGACGATTATTCCTTCTTTTCAATAGAACCTCTCAGTCTTACTATCACCACTTCCAAAACAATACCTTTGGGCCTCTTCTTACCGCGAAATATCTTCTTCTCATACCTAGTGTTCAAATCTCCAACATTGCATTCATTTCCAATAGTTGTGGGTCCTCTAGCATTCAATCATGCATATGGGGCCTAGCCGCATATTCTGCTTCTAAAGCTGCGCTAAATATGGGTTTGCGTGTATGTTACTTTCCGCTTGATAAGCAATCTTTTCCCATCACTTTACAAATCATGGTCATGTATGTTCTCCTCACACATTCTTTTTTATAGCATCTAGCCGTGGAAATACACAAAGAACTGGGCTCCGAAGCTCCAGTTATATTGGCTCTTCATACAGCTGAAATAGGCGCTGATTTGGGACCCAATCCCGCGGAGTTGACAGAGGCGCAAATAAGTGTGAGAGGATGTCTAAAGATCATAAGGGAAAAGGGAAAATATGGAAGTGATGAGGGTGGGAAAGCGTCTGCTTGGGCGATGGGAGTGATAGAAGATCCGGAAGCAGCGACGTTATGGACTTGGAATGGGCTGAGATATCCATGGTGAGCCGCTTCTGTGGATTGTTTGTGGGGATTGGAGAGATGTACTGGATAGGCTGTGTTTATTATTTTGGGTTGGGCGTCGGTTATATTACATCAGGATGGATCATAAAATAACTTGGATAGGGTGTATGGGTTGTACGGGTTGGAGTCGAGCAATCAGCATGGACTGTATAATATTTGATAGAACAATAAATATCACATACATGGATGAAGCCATGGTTCCAATCTGAAGGCGATGAGTTACTCCTGATGTATCATGGTGGCATTTTGACACTGCACTACACTTTTGAAGTCTGTTATGACTTGTTCACACATCACATCATACTCTAACCACCATAACCACCAAAAACTATAAGTCTTATGAACTCTCCCCCAATTTCCCATCCAAATCTTCAACAAAATCATTCAAAATCCTCTCAATCCACTTATTCATCACCACTCTATCATCAACCACCACCCTCTCCCTCTCATTCGCCAAATCAAACTGAAACCCCCCCGCCAAATTATTCGACACCACATGCAAAAACCCAAACCTTACCCCCTTTTCCCTCGCCGCCACAGCCATATGACCAATCTCTGGATCCACCCAACAAAACTCCTTTCTCGTCTTTTCAAACCACGCATGATCTTCGTCCAGCACCGACGCCGACGTATAATGCACTCCTCTCGCCACCTTCCCCAGTATCTCCCCACTAATTGGATTTTCCCACTCGATAAACTTTCCATTCACGAAACTCTTCGAGCCCGTCGCTAACGTCCTATTAGGCGTATGTTCCTGCGCCAACGCTCCTAGTTTCCCAACATAGATCACGCATTGCAACGTAACCCCACAGATTTCCTTCAAGCACCTCACGAGATCTCCCGCTAAATCTCCCCAAAAACTCGTTCGACATTTCAATATCGTTACTTTGAAACCATTGGTCTTCGTAACCGTCTGCCACGAGAATAGCTCATCCTCATCTTCTTCATCTTTCCACGGTTCTGCCGATCTCATTATATCTCTCGGAATCGATCCTACAATCACCAGATTCGTTTTGTCCCCCGCTAGACCCCTCAAATTCGATTTCATGAATGCTTCATACCCTGCGTTTTCCTGGGGTAAAATAATTCTCACGATTCCTGGATCTTTCCCCTCGATCGCCAAATGCGTCGCTACGATATTAGCATAATGTTTTACATAGTCTCTCCCTGGAAAACAATTGATGCGCAGTTTTCCCTCTTCTAGAATTGTGGCGGTGGGTCGTTGATAGTTGAAAGATTTATCGATTTTTTCGCCGTTGTAGATGATGGCTGGGGCGGAACGGATGTGGTGGCCTACGACTTCTATTTCGGTCCAGGGTTGAGAGGGCACGAGGTGGTGCACTTTGATGTCGAGGTAGCGTTGTAGAGAGGGGCCCATGGTGTGCTGTGCAAAGCTGGTTATTGTGGGGGTGGGCTCTTGCAGTTGTGGTGAGGACATGGTGGGTAGTGTGAAGTAGGGTGTATATGAGATGGAAGGAAGGAAGGTGAGGAAACTGAATTAAAAATGGTTTGGGGAGAACTGTCGCATTTATATAGCTCCCATGTTTATATACCTCTCATGCTTCACATTCCGTTCAGTGAATAATCATCTGCTGGATGCCGACAAATATGATGCGCTGGAAGAGCCTTCCGTTTACGCAGACTCGTCATGTTTGTAGCCAATGTTGTACAAATACATGTTGTTGAGCGATGTCAATGAGTCAGATGAATAACGGATTGCTGGATACACAAAAATGGTTCCAGAAATACAGCCTAGCTGTCGATGATAGACCGGGAAGAGTAGAACGATAGATCCAGCTATAGTCCATCATCAAATGAAGATTTATTTCCTAATTGACAGCAAAGAAAGCCATGTCGTGCAAACTTTAGATCGAGAAAAAGATAAACATTATCTGGTATCATGAATGGATCCGTACCATATATGATGTATGAAGTCATGGACATGATCTAAATTGACCGCAACGCAACGCCATAAAGACGCAAAAAATAACTATACAACACTTTTCTTTCCCCTCTTCTTCATCATCCGAGCCTTTTCGGTTGCTTCTACAACCCTCTGTAACCTCCATTCACATCCTTCGGCAAAATCACAACTCCTGCATTTGAATGCCTCATCCAGTTGAACACCCTTTGCCTTTCTTTCTCCTTTCCACCATCGCAGTTCTTCCTCCAGGTACGAACTCAGTTCTTCATTGTCCATGGGGATAGTCTTGATTCCAACTATCTCTCCATCATCTCGCGATCGATATTCTGTTTTTAATATCCTTCCCAATGACCCAGCACCATCGGGGAAAGTGATTTGGAATTCAGAGATCATCACAGACCATAGTGCATTAAGATTGTTGTGAGCGAGGAGAACACTCATAGAATCTTGACTAGAACTTGGCCCTGAATCATCCTGCTCCTCAAGTGCATCTTGGTATATCCCTTCGTCATCTTCATTCATGCTACCGACCTGAGCGATGAATGTATCTGAAAATGCCTTACCTGTATCTAACCCATAACGGGCTGCCAAAACGCTAAAATCGACCGAGTTTGTGGCAAGATTGCCAAGTAAGTGATGGTATAACATAAGTTGTACTCGAGTAGGACGAAAGGCTGCATCGTTTGGTAGCGTGCGAACACCCCTGGTCTTAACATCGCAAATATACACTTTGTTCGACTGTTTTCTTATTTTGATCCGTGTCGCCTCTGAAATGGACGAACCTTCCATTCCTTTAAAGAAATCAGATATGGAAACTTGTTCCGCGGGTGGCGATTTCTTCTTCTTCTTGTTCTTCTTTTGGCTCTTCTCCTCCGTCTTTCCTAGAAGCGATACCTCCATTTCAACATCCGGGCATATGTAGCTTAACTCATCAATGATCCCATTAACAACCAATCCATCAATAGTACCCCATATCTCCAGTTCCCTGGTTTGTCCCGTTTCTCGTAATGTTCGTAATCCTTGTATCACATTCCAGATTCGTAAACCCCATGCGTCTTCTTTCGTTTGAATTTCAATCTGAACAGACCTATGTACCTGATCTTCCAAGACTTTGTGTACAGCACTACCCTGCTTCATAGCGGGTGTTTGCTTCCTCCTCCCAAGTTTCGTCAATGTGTACCAGTATTGCAGCTCACACCATGCAGGAGACACAAGGTCTGTCACTGAAAGAGGTTTCTTCGGCGCGGTACGAAATCGTTCGAGGGGCGATCGTGTGTCTGGGAGGGCGGAGGTTGCAGACTTTGTGGGCTTTACTGAGACTTCATTTACTTGTATTGCGGGAGCTGCGGCTGGCACAGCTTCAGGTATTTGATCTTGCACTAAATCCTGCCGCGTAAGTCAGAGATATGATTTAGGCGACAAACAAATATACTCACAGTCTGGATAGTACTCGCGTTTCGAGACTGAAGCATTGATTTGATCAGCAACCCTCTCTGCATCACGAATAGCCTGGAGCAGAGGCGAGATTTGTTCCTTCCCAACGACTCGAGGGAGGCGAAGAGCACGTTCTGGCTCATGATACTCGATTTCGGTGACAATGGGATTGTCTTCGATCTCCGTCGGTTCCTTGGATTGGTGGACCGGCGATAATAACTTCTCTACTATCTCAACTTCTTCGGGTGAGAAATCGGAACCATAATCACTTTCGCTATCTGCGAAATGGGGAGGCAGTCCTGTCACTTCTACGGCAGAACCAGCCATGCCGATATATGTACTTAGTGCGATACATCAGTGTGTTCTGGTAGTTTGGGACAATCCATGACACGTTCACGGTTGTTGCCACTCAATAGACGCGATTGGAGCGTAATCACGTGCAGCCTCTTTGTGGGATAATTCGCAATCAATCTCTTACAATTGGTTACACCCAAGAATGTCAATTTCTGGAAGACTGCATCAACTGGGTAATTCTGGAATATTGTTGCACTCTTATTAGGATTCTAACTAGATATTCAGACAATTGCCATTGTTCAAATTCTACACAGCAGATGCTTCAGCCACAGCAACTGTGTCGCCTTTCTTGTGAAGCCTACTATGTATTACCAGCCTTTTAAGTTCTGACTTTAGTGAATCAGCATTTCCCTCCTCCCATACCACAGAAACACAGCCTTCCGCCCAGGGGAGTCTTGAGTATTCGTCACTTCAATATATTCCTGTCATTAGTTATGACTCTGGAACGAATCACATCTTTCCAAAAGCGCAAAAGTGGCAGCCTGGTCAAAGATACCACGTTTCAAATAATCGTATTCAACACGAGAGTGACTCGATGATCCACTCATCCACTCATTTGATTGAATCTGTACCTGGTATAGGCAGCACGAATTATATATCAGCATCTTTCGCCCTTCTTGCAGTGATCGGATTATGAGTTTATCACGATTACAGGATCTATCCATCTTGCCTGCTTACCACATCATGGAGAAGCACAATACTCCTTCGGTATCTCAGACGGAATATAGTGCTCCCAAACTCAATCTTCTAAATTTACCACAAGAAATCCAATTATTGATAACTTCTCATCTGATATATCCAGATGCACTCTCCCTAAAACACACCAATCGATACTTCTACTCTTTTGTGTATACCGGTTTACATTTGAAGATAGAGTGGCTGATTCAGAGACGGCGTCTACATTTGGATTGTCCAAGTGACAGTAAATGTGAATTGGGTAGTGATGTTAGATTTTGTCGAGGGAGTGTTGCGTGAGTCTTACCACAGCTTTTGTGGTCCAAAGATGTGAAGACTAATAATATCCACAGCTTGCTGATGAAGAGGAGAAGAGAACATCAAGAGTGTGACAGTAAGCCAGGAGGGAGGGGATGCCTGGTACTAGGGAGAAATATTTGTGTCGACAAGAAGGAAAGCAATCATATCAAGCTAGTCTGGAGATACCTTACATCGGTAATTCCTCTGTGGTTAGTAGTGGTAACAGTTGCTTTGCTGGCCATTGTCATAGCTCCGACGAAAATATCGCCTATCACGGGAAACCACTGACATAGAAAGGGGGGTTGTCATTGAGATGTATACCGGGGACCTTCGGAACAAATCCATCTTGGAATAATGTTTAATAAAGAAGACGGGTAAAATCAATGATGAGGAAATGATTAGCATTTTCCTTCATCTATTATCTACTGAGCTATTAAATAGCGCACCATTTTCATTCTCGTGAACCCCCCTAAATGACTCGTAACTCATTCCGACAGACATGAGAGTAAGAGGTTGCTTGAACTCGCATTAAGCTCACGTTCATGAACGCACTTCATCAATTGGAACAATGATTGTTTGCGCATCCATCAAGACCGTTTACACCCCATGACCTCCATTAAACTAAACATTCTCGTACCGTTCGAACTCCTAGAGGTTGAACTTCTGAGATTGGATATGCAGATAGACATACAATATTTCGCGTCGTCTAGAACATCCCCAAACACTCCTCAACTCCCCACCTATCGCTTCCGCCACCATGTTTCGGATCATCGCCAAGAAGTTGTACGAGCGGCAGTGTAGCTAAAAAGAGCATCAGGGGTACAGCCTTACGGCCCAGCATATTATCAAAGTAGTATCAAACCGTCCCATCTTCCTAATTCTCTGTCTCATCTCCTAAATTGTGCAGATGCGATAACTTTCGGATAAAAATTGCGATCCTGTCATATAAGTTTCGTCGCTCATCGTTCAAAATCTCCTATCAGAAGGTAACATTCACGGTAATATGAAATCAACAGCGTGTACATGATTCACTGGAAATGGGTGTAATGTTTGTTATCCGTTTGTGTTACAGCATTAGGATCATCTTGGGAAATTAGATATCAGATTTTGAAATTTTATTTTCGTAGGAGGTTGTTATAATTTTCTTACCTCTCCCCTCTCTTGATTAGATTCCTTTTACCCTTTTCATTTCTATCTTTTGGACAGAGGCAAGTTGTCGATACTTTCTTTCTTCACATTTACATTCGTTCATCTCACCCTTACATTAATCGGGTTGGATACCTGATCGTACGTTCCTTCAATAGAAACCACGCTCCTTAAATAAGCAATACTTACACTCTTTTGGCTTTGAAAGCCACCAACTATCGTGTGAATTGGACTTGATTACTACCACTTCTAACTCCAAAACCCACCGCGACGAACAAGAGTCAAGATGCTGTTCAAACCAACCAAAACAATTAGTATCGCTTTCCTAGGATCGCTCTTCTCGCCCGCAAGCACCACGTTCGTCATTCAATGCTACAGTCGTCTCGTCGATGAGCGTGTTGATCCAGTAGTCAGTCCTGGAATTCTCCCTGCATCTCATGTGCATGCGATTGCTGGCGGTAGTGGCTTCAGCGCCAACATGACATATGCTGATGCGCGTGCGGCCAAATGTGGGACTTGCAATGTGAAGGAGGATTTGTCGAATTATTGGACCCCGAAGCTTTACTACAAAGCTCAGAATGGTAGTTTCATTTCTGTGCCTATTAATGGAGATGACGGGTATGGAAATCTCGGGGGAATGGCTATTTATTATCTGTGAGTCTTAGACACCCTGAAATCTTGATGCGCCGTCGTGCCGTACGTTTCCTAACGTTTCCCAAGTCAACGTCCAGGTCCAGATAATGATCCACTCGTTCCATTTCCTGAGAATTTCCGTATGCTAGCTGGAGATACAAGTCGACGAAGCTACAATGACTCTTCCTTTGCAGACCGTGCTGTGAGTTTTCGATGCACAGGAACTGATCTTCAAACGAATGGTTTCCCAAACATCAACTGTCCAGATGGCCTTCGACTTCAGGTCACAATGCCCAGTTGTTGGGATGGGGTTAATGTAACTTCAACTGATTACAAATCTCATATGTCGTATCCTGCGGATGGTAATTTTGACGGTGGTCGCTGCCCAGCTTCGCATCCTCATCATATGATGACTCTGTTCTTCGAAGTCACATATCGTACTGATCTTTTCGCCAATGAGTGGTACGGCAATTCTCAACCTTTTGTTCTTGCTAATGGTGATACCACTGGCTACGGATTCCATGGTGACTTTGTAAGCATTTTACCGATTGCGTTCTCATCATTTTTCATGAAGCTAACATAGACCAAGGTAAATGGTTGGGATATCCCAACACTCACGAAAGGAATCAATAACTGCCTTGATGGCCAACCCGACTGTCCAAGTGAGACTTTTACCTTTTACGAACAATCCAACACTCAAGAATGCAAGCTTGCTCCTCTGATCAATGAACCTGTAAGCGGTACGCTCTCCGCACTTCCCGGTTGCAATGCACCTTCTTCCGGCCCAGCGGAGTACACACCCCCTGCTTGTCCCCAGGACGTAGCTTTAGCAAAATCGTTCCAGGCTCCCCCTTCGCGCTTTAACCCTGCCACCTCCAAAGCCCCTTCGCTCCCAATCGGTATCGTCGATTTGAGTACCTCCAAAAGCTGGACCTACCTCGGATGTGGAACGGATGACGCTGCAAATAGAACCTTGAATGCTGATTGGGAAGGAAACAGTACCATGACTATCGAGACTTGTGTGAATTTCTGTGCATCTAAGGGCCATACATATGCCGGAATGGAATTCGGAAGTCAATGTTACTGCGGCAATGTTCTATCTGCAGACCGGGCACCTGTTACTGGTATGCTAGGTGATTGTATCATGCCATGCGCAGGAAACAGTGCCGAGAAATGCGGTGGCAATGCTGCAATTACTCTCTATCAGAAGTGTGATGCAAATGGATGCGCTGCCTCTAGTGTAGCAAAGACTGTTTCTGGTCGATCGCAGAGTAAGAAGAGAAGTAGGGTTATGAGGAGTCTGGGTATTTAGACAAGATGCGAAATCATAAGGATGTTGACGTCGGATAGCTTTCGGGTCGATATAGATGTGACACATGGAGGAAATAAACCCAACTTACACTTCTCGTAGATAGATTACACCATTTCAAAGCTCGCAGTTGCGATGACTTTTGAAATGGTGAATACATACGAATTATGAGAAAATGATACATACCTACATTTTCCCTTACGTTGCCCTAATGCAAATTCTGGATCTCGTGTGATTACAACAATCTCGACCAAATACAAAATCAAATAAATAAATAATTATTATTAACTCTAAGCAGCTGTTCCTCTTAAGGGAAAAGTCACGAAATGAGGTTTCTATGAACAATACTGCGGGAGGATTGTGAACGGAGGACAAGTGAGAGATATATCATTAGTGGGGTGGGAGCCGTCCTTGCGGAAGTCAAATGCAATTCCAGGGTCTAGCGACATGGTTTCCCCAGCACATATGGCGCCGCAGATGAGATGAAAATTGAGTTTGTAGATTCGTTTTTCGGAACCTTATCGAGTTTTTTGCCCGAAGTGTCTTTTTTTCTTCCGGTCTTCTCTTTTCCAGATCTATCATTGAATTTTCAAGAGTACTCGCTTTTGAGGTTCAATTCTCCTTCATTTTTCGCTTGTTCGGACACTATCTTAGCCCGAGGTCTAACTATGGACTTCACTAAATATTGAGATTTAACGAATCGAATCAAGGATGCAATCAAGATTTCCCAAGTACCAGGTATCCGATGCCTATTCCCTGCCCGTACTCACATACATGGTGTATAATATATTGCGGCACAGCACCCCTTCTTGCGTTTCATCCTCGGCCACTCGAAGGCGGATAAGAACTGCAAAAAGACTCAGAAAATTGACAACGGATCCACATATGAAAATCGAAATTGCATATCAAGGATTATCAATCATCCTTAGTGCCGCACAGTTCATTCGAATTTTGAACGGCACGACGAGAATTTTGGTTCTGGTTGGTTATGGTTTACAATGAGGTACCTTGCTACATGGACCTGCTGTTCGTCTGATAATTAGGCGGTTGGCTTCTGTCGAAGCCTGTGCCGTTTTTTGTAGTGTGCACATCGTCATATCCATTTGAGACAGGTCGAATACTTTCCTTTACCCTTTGTATTCAACCAAAGTGGATGAAATGACTTCACCAATCATATCTAGATTAGATCGGAGTCCACCTCCTGAATAGGCGGGTCTGCGGCTCATGATTTTCCGTATCCTGTATATCGATCTATTATGTACAGGCCAAGAAGGAAATCTCTGAGCACGGATCGCTCCACACTGCCAAATCCAGCAGTTATCGAGATTCCAGAGCTACACTGGAAATTGGCCCACCCTTCAATATTTACTACTTTACCTTGAGGAAGCGCCACTTTGTGGTTCGTTATGGCTTTGGAATTTTCTATGCGTTCTTTCCCACGTGTTTTTTGACTATAGGCCTAAGTGCTTCAGTTGGACTTAGAGGAAAGATGACGGACGCAATTGACCACTACTATCAGAACAGGGATGGACCGCCATCGAGATCTTTCAGCAATGAGTCCGATTCATACAACAAAACCGCTCCTTTGCCTCCACTATCAACATTTCCTGAAAGAGCCCGAACTCCAAGTTCAAAACGTGTTCCGATAACCCCCAATTCCGCCAAATCTACATCCGAGAGCCCACGTCGCATCACCTTCTCTAGAGATGCCGGAAGTAGCACAAAAGGCTCGACGGGAACAAGTCCTAGTAACAAAGGAAGTGTAAGCAGTAGAAATGGTAGCAGCGGGAATGGTATGGGACTGAGTAGCGCGGGAAATTTTGCGGATTTCTTTAGCTCTGAAGTATTTTATATCGTGCTTCATAATCCAACGACCGCGCATCGATTCTTGAAGTTTTGTCAAAGTCGTGCTTGTGCGGAAAATCTTGAATTTTTGCAAAAGGTATGCTAATAATGCCCTTTTGCATGGAGTCAAGTGCTAAAGGTGCCAAACTAGATTGATGAGTATAACCGGTTGATAGATGAAGCGACACGTCTTCTTTCCACGATTTACTCAACCTTTGTTTCGTCAGAGGCGCCAAAGCAAATCAATATTTCCAATTCTCATGCTCGGCGATTATCACATGATATCAAGAGCGCGACTAACAATATACTTCCCGGCCTAGAAGACATCTTCAATGGTTCACAGGAGCAAATCGAGAAATTGCTAGCTAGCGATCTGTACCCACGTTTTGTAAAACATCAGGTTACTGCTTCCGCTACTATGGCTTTGGCAAACGACAAGGAAAGATACCCAGGACTAGGCGACTGCTTTTGTCTCACTGATCCAAGGTATGTTCTTCCCAAGAAACACTGTTCATCTACATGCGAAACTGACCAAATGAAGGCGGGCCGATAACCCAATTGTATTTGCTTCGGACGGGTTCGTCTCTGTCACGGGATATTCTCGATCAGATATCATCCCTCGAAACTGTCGCTTCCTACAAGGATCATTCACTGATCGTCAAGCAACAAAGCGACTACGAACTTCCATTGACAATTGCGAAGAGACAGTTGAACTGCTTCTGAATTATCGCAAAAATGGTGATCCATTCTGGAATCTCCTTTACGTATCTCCCTTACTTGACGGTAATGGGAACGTCAGATTCTTTCTCGGTGGACAAGTAAATTGCAGTACGACGATTCACAGTCGTACTGATGTTCTTCGAATTTTGAGCCTGAACGATGAGGATACTGGGAGTTTTATAGAGGGGAGCAGTAAGGCCCCAAGTGTTCGAAGCAAGGAGTCCAATAGTCCCAGCAATTGTGGAAAGACTTCGTTCTTCAAGAGCTTCAAAAAATACAAGGCAAATGCTGTAGAAATTCGGGATGAAGCTGGAATGGAAGGCGAATTAATTGACCGGATTGGAAAGCTACAATTCAAAACACAAGTTGAGGAATTCTATACGGCTTATTCGAAGGTGTGTTTCGAAATCTGAAAACTGCTTGAAATTTCACTGACATCAAAAAATAGTATCTCGTCCTATACTACCAACCACAATCACAGAATCTGATTGTCAAATACTTCTCTCCGGGTATAGTAGATATGCTTAATCTAAACCTTCCCAACGGCCTCGTGGCTCCTATTGTCGATAAAGACATCTTCAAAGTTCTCACAGAACACTCTCCGTCATCTGTACCCCGCACGTTCAAAAACGCAGTCAAAGAAGGCATCAAAGCCGGGCGAGCAGTATCAGTCGAAACGACACTCTTGACCGGAATTGAAGAAATCAAGAAGTCACAGGGCATTTTTGGTGGTACAACGGCAAATAGAGAGAAGGGGTGGAAGAAGGCCGAGGAAAAATACATCTGTCATTTCACGCCTTGTAAAGATGAGATTGGCAGAGTTGGATGGGTCGTTTTGACTGTCGCACCAAAGCAGGAAAGATTTTGAGGGGTTTGTTTTGGCGTTTGACTGCGAGTACATGTAATGATACCCCCGGATTGACATTTTTGTGTTTGGATATAGATACCTAACAAATGATTTTTGGCGATTGGAGGTAAATCATTAATTAATCAAGCTTTCACAATTTACTTCGGAGAAAAACTATAAATCCTAGCTTTTTAAAGCCTTTTTCTGGTCTAAGGATGACTGACTTGTGAATGCCAATTTGCAAAACTGTTAATCAATGTCCTGGGACGCAATTAGGAACGTGAAATATTGCGCAATCTCCATTGCATTCATAATGAAGGAAGTGCCTCACATCTTGGCCGAGAAGTAATGCTTCATTTTACACGACTATCTGGGTCAACCAACTTAATTTATGTATACCGATCTAGACCACACCACCAAATAAATTTCCAAACAGCCTAGAACGCCTCGATGCGCGAATTAAACCTGAATGATTCATGAACAATCTCACATGGCATCGAAGCTCAAGGTATATGATAAATCAACCGGAAAGTTTCCTCCTGGAGATTATGCTCGCGAAAACAAGGGGAAGGGTAGTGGGCGTCAAAACGGATTAGGCATTTATAAAATGGTTAGGCGATGGGATGAAGGGGTTGGGGAATGGCATGCTACAGACTCCGAATACAGAGTATGCGATAAGGATCGGTCAATTAGATTACGATGCTGCTTGAATATTGCATTTCGGGGACGATTTAGTTACGAAGTTCGTTCATTTTATGAGTTGAAATCGTTGTTATGCAGGTGGGGATTGTGGAGGCTTGAGATGTGTGATTTTATCTGAATTTTCCGCTTGGAATATATTTGGAAATGTCAAGGTCTATAACATATTAGTAAGGCGTCGTGACGGAGTGGTTAACGTGATTGACTAGAAATCAATTCCTTTCGGGGGCGCATGTTCGAATCATGCCGACGTCGATATCTTTTAACTTTTTGCACCCTTGAAATCATTCCTTTGATAGAAGCAATTGGGGGTCAATTATTTACGATACTTTTGCTGTCTTTTCTGGATTCTTGTTCCTTCATATTCCCGTCGGAACTCTTATTTGTCTGTGGAGTTGCTTGCATAAGTGGATCTACTCCATTAAATAAAGGAGAAAGATAAGCTTTGACTATTATCCGGATTGTCTTTTCATTCATTCGCTTTCGTTAGGCCTATGAAACCTTTACCATATCTGGAGACGACGCAAATTCCATCTTTGTCCAAGAGAACATCATATGTTGCACGTAAGCTGCATGTAATAGTCTATTGGACCTTTAACCCTTTACGATGCATTCACGTTAAGATCTCTCAATAACCAATGGAAACATCCCTCCGATGAGTCTTCGCATGTCAGACGATCCCGTCATCAGGCAATTGTGCTCCCAGGTCCGCGGACATTCCGGTCTCCATCTTCTGGAATTTCCCAGAACGGAAGCAGGCTTCAACAAGAAAGATGTGTATATAAATGACTAGACAACATTAAATTTGAAGTAAACATTCATTCGCATTCTTCACCATATTCTCAGTGTCCATTAATATATCAATATGTCACAAGAATTATCCAAGAAAGTCATTATCGTTGGCTGTGGCATTGCAGGTCCAGTGATCGCAATTCTACTCCAGAAGAAAGGATATACTCCAATTGTCGTGGAAAAAGTTAGAGTGTTGGGAGATGCGGGTGGATCTCTGTTTATACAGCCCAACGGGTATGTTCTTGATACACCGTCCATTTCGAAATGAGGGCTAATCACGTCATAGTCTCAAAGTACTCAATTTGGTCGGTCTAGCCACGGCAGTAACTGATAATGCTCCCTGGGGAGAATACTCCTGGGATAAAACTCATACCGGCGAAGTTCTTGGAGGCGGCAATTTTCTCAAATCGCTAAAGGAAACATACGGTCAGCCGGTTTGTGGAACTAAAAGAAGCACATTCAATCTAGCTCTTGAAAAGGCTGTCGTGGATGCATGTATCGAGTTTCACTCGGGGTGGAAACTGGCCAAGATTGAAGAGAGCGAGACCAGCGTAGTAGCGATTTCAGAAGCTGGTGAGAGGATTGAAGGATCGTTTCTCATTGGTTGTGATGGTATTAAAGCTGCCTCGAGAGAGATATTGCTTAAACGTAAAGGTTATAATGAGCCCGAAGCTACATATACGGGACTAATTCAGGTTTGATATACCGCCCATCTTTAGAGTTAATACTAATGTTACCCAGACCAATGGATTTTCTCCCACGCCGCCATCCCTTCAAAATACCCTCCTGAATGTCTTCGGTCCCTCCGCTCATGTAATCCATTACCCCATCTCTCCGACCCACTCATCATGGGCAATTACACAGCGACAAAGTGAGGAGGAAAAAGAAACGTGGCGTCTATCAACACACGAAGAGCTTGAGAACCGAAGAGCAGAGCTCTTGAGTCAATTCGAAGATTGGGCCGAGCCAATTCCAGAACTGATCAAAAGTGCTGGAAGGTTACTCAAATATGGGATCTTCGATCGACCAGGCTTGAAGGCCGAACAGTGGTATGACGGAAGATGTGTCCTCATTGGTGATGCTGCACATCCTACGAGTCCCCATTTGGGTCAAGGTGCCAATCAAGCTATGTATGATGATACTAATCCCCAACATTTTGGTGATTTTTCTAATAACTCGATAGGGAGGATTGCTATCATCTCCAACGACTTATCCCTGAGGCCGGTAGCGATCTCTCAACAGAAGCCTTAACGAAAATTTTCGCTGAATTCACAGGGATTAGACAACCCAAAACAGCCTTATTAGTAGCGGGTGCTCGAGCACAAGGAGAACGAAGAGTTGTGACGCCGGAAACGATGGAGGCGAGAAATGAGTACATGAGACAGATGTGGAAGAATCCCGAGATCTTTTATAAGGCTTATACTGAGATACTGAAAGGGCCATTTGATGCGATGGCTTGATATTTTAATGGCTTCAGATAGAAGGAAAACAATATAAGAAATCGAAATCACACTCGTGGCTATTTTGGTGAATTTTATAGATGTACGTAAGGATTCACAGTGCGAACATGTTGGCCTGGACACCTCGCATCTTGTCGGTTGGTACTTGGAGAATTACCTGGGCAGTAGTTGATGCCGCTCAAACATGGCAATAGAAAAAGATGTCTCAACCTGCGCATTTACCTGTGCGAGTGAGACTTCTTGAACTTCTAGTCATCGAAGATCCTGTACTTTGCGAGTCCTTCCAAACTCTAGAAATAGAGAATATATCGCTCCTAATCGTATCTCCTCATCTCTGCCAGAGACATTCCCCTGTCTGCAACATTTCGGGCATGAACATTGGTTTCGAGATGCCGTATTATAGTTGATTTTGGTGTAATACCATACCTAGAAAGCCATTCGCTGTCGTGGCAATGAATCTGGAGTCTCTCAACATAGAGGTAGCCCAACCCGTCACAATCCCCAGCTCATCATTAGGATACACGCACCTCAGATCGCGAATCTCTATATTCCAATTTTCGACTTCTATTGATGAAGCGCCAGATAGAGGGTTGTTAGGGATAAGATCTGGGCGTATCCTAAGGGCAATGTAATTTGGCGTTGGTTCTCCTGTAAGTTGCTCTGGATGGGGCTCGGGTAGCACAAAAACGGGGAAGCCAGGGTTAGGGCAATTTTCTACAGTTGACCAGTCCTTTTATCAACATCAGAATCATGAATGAAAACATTGACACGATTAAATTCACCGATATGGGATAGATGCGGGGAGAGATGACGTCTTCATGATCACGTGTTTGAACTAATATCTTGTCTTTCAATCCGACTTCTTGGAAAGTTTGTGCTTCTTTTCCAAACACTTCAACTTCTATTGTCCCTAAATACGAACAAAGATAGACTCAAAATTAAAGGACGGGGAATTCGATAAATGGACATACTTTGTCGCGGCATACAATGTGTTGTAAGGCAAACTCGGTGAACCATAGCTATGGCTATCATTGTTGTGTTGTTCAGCCTCGCCATGATCTGGCATCTGTCGGGCTGCAAGAGATCTCGAGCCCATCTCCACTCTTCATGCAAATCATCTCAGATTCTAAGATGTATTGGCTCAGCTTGCTCAGCTGAAACCTTGTGCAGATCTAGGGAGATATTGAATTGGCCAACATGAGCACGGACTTCCCCACAGAGTCCGAACACTGTTCCCCCTATTATTGGCCGACTATTTTACTGATTCGGGCTTGATGTTTCTTCATACATAAAAGGTAGACAGAATGAAATTTTGATAGCTTTTGAACTCAAGTAAAATCAAACTCGAAAACAATAAAGATGCCACCTCAAGCGACAGAACTTGGCAATGGAAGAACGTGGACGTTGGGTGACAAATTTGAGGCGAAGCTCCCTCATCATGAGGGAGTCAAGGCATTGTGGGAGACAAAATGGAAATTCCCCGTAGATACTTCCCAGGTTGTTATGGTTACGGCGATAATGCTCACAGTTCGTAGTGTACGAAAAGTGTATATCCCTTCCATGACGGAAAGTTCGAAGATTTCGAGCCTATTTTTGAGCATCTAATTGCTGTGAGCCTTCCCCACTCGTTTCCATTCTTCGATGATTGACAATTCCCAGAGAAACATAAATGATGGATATGGTGATGCGTTCACTGAAGCCTTCTTTCCAATTGCTGAAAAGCTTACTGCTCAAGGAGATGAGTCAGCGGCTTCAGGCGATCAAGCTTCAGCATCAGAGCTCTATCTACGAGCCGCTTGTGTATATCGAATTGCACGATTTCCATATATCGGTAAATTTCCTAAGATAAGTTCCCAAGTCAAGTGGAAAGCATGGGAAGCCCAAAAAGAGGTATATATGAAAGCTGCCACGAAATGGGACTGCCCAGTAGAAGAGGTTATGATTGAACATACACATGCGGAAGGGCAAGATGAACTCTCGATACCACTTTATGTGAGATACCCTCCAGCTACTAAAAATTCGAAAGTGCCCGTGGTTCTTCTCTTGACTGGACTCGATGGATATCGACCGGACAATACAGTTCGAAGCGATGAGTTCATTAGTCGCGGTTGGGCATGTGTAATTGCGGAGATTCCAGGAACAGCTGATTGTCCCTCTGATCCAAGTGATCCTTCAGCTCCCGATAGATTGTGGACAAGTGTTTTGGAGTGGATGAAATCAGGAGACAGGTTTGATATGAGCCACGTGATGGTATGGGGCCTGAGTGCTGGTGGGTATTATGCCGTCAGACTGGCTCATACGCATAAAGATCAACTGAGGGGAGTTGTTGCACAAGGTGCTGCTGTTCATTACTTCTTCGGTAGAGATTGGCTTGAAAAAGCTGAAGGACATGAGTATCCTTTCCAGTAAGTTTTCTGTTTCCAGGTGCCTGGAGAATTGCAGTCTGACATCCCCTAGACTTGGTCCAGCTATGGCATTAAAGCACGGGTATACCTCTATAGAAGAATTCAGAAATAACGTCCAAAGGAAATTCTCACTGCTGGAAAGCGGAGTAATTGATAAGCCTTCGACAAGACTGTTGCTTATAAATGTAGGGTTCTGGTTGCATATGTGTGATACACGTCATGACTGACAGCTCATCTGATAGGGTACTTTGGACGGACTGATGCCGATCGAGGATTCGCAACTACTGTTTGAACATGGAACACCAAAAGAAGCTCGGTAAGTTATGAACTCATCTACAAGCGTGGTGGTTGCTCGTTAACACTATTAGTTTCTTTCCTGGTGCCCTACACATGGGTTACCCAATGGCCAATTCTGCAGTGTATCCATGGATGGAGAGTGTTATGGAATAAAAACAGGGATAAAGCAATGCCATATTTGAATAAAGTCGAAGATTGGACGCGAAGTAGCCACCACCATCTCAAAGGGTCTTTCAGATCTGTGATCTCTCCTGACGCGATGAAATTATGTAGCATAACAGTATAGCAACGCGTAAAATTCAAACATACCGTTGAATCATATATGTCGTCTCGCCATTGTAGCTTTGAGTTATCCAGAATTTTGTTCATATGGCTCCGAAATTCCGATATCTTAATCAATGTCGACAGTCGAAATCGCTGAGATCGCACTCGAAGCACGCGCCACTCCCCTAGTTTCAATTACATAATCTCGTGATGTGGCTCATTTCCCATCAACGTGGTCTCCACAATGCACATATATCCGCACTCCGACACGTCCCTGATTAGACGTGTTATAACCTGAACAACTGGATAGATGCCAATGCTGATATCGTCGCTCTCTCCTATCAGTCAAACTTAGGCGAGTGAGTACACATCTTAGGTTGTTCTGACTGTTTAATTTCTTCAGAAAGAGTGCAAAAACTGTGCACTGAAAGTTTCTCTTGAGAGCCGAAGCCATGGTTAGTCCTTTGGACACCGACTCTCCATTATACAAGAGAGTATCAAGATGCATTGCAAGTATGATACGCTTCCATCGAGCCAATGCTTCTAAAGAAGGTTTGTGTCCACAAGTCATTATTTCATGTTATCGTCTTCGGCACCGATGGTCTCCCAAAGCACTATCATCTGCCCAATTACAAAAGGAAGAACTTGTCAAAAGGATTTTGAATCAAATGATTGAGGTGAGCAAAATCACATCTTATGCTCCTTACTGAAATATTCTGAAGAAAAAAAATTAGACCAATATTCTGGTTAAAATACCTCCAAAGGATACGCCTTCTGGAAGAAATCTGCCGGCAACGATAGAGCAAAGTTATGTTTTGATCCCTGACTATGAGACGGAAAGTTGTAGACCGAGAGAGTCATGTGATGATCTACTGAGCTCAGGCATATCCAGGGCAAATCAAGTAGTGTTTGGAATGAGCGTTACGACACCAAATAGTATTATAAGTCGTGAATTTGTCTCCATGAGTGAAGTTGAACCAGATGCCACGCGCCTTTTCTTCCCAACAAATACCAGCATTCTTAAATCTTCCACGGCAATACAAAGTAACAAACGACGGCGTACATCCAATAACAATGGCAGTTCTCATGGCATGGAGCGATCAAACAGTGGTGAAGAGAATCGGGCCAGCTCACAATCATTGACTGCCGTTCCATCATTTGTTAGCCATCGAGTGAAATCAGGGTCGCAAAGCCCTGAGACTATTGTTTCGAACAAGACTCAGTCAGATGCTGAAAACATTGCACAGGAGGTATGTACTTATAGGGCCGTTGATTCAACCCCTAACATTTTCAGGTTGCCAATCTTCCTTGGCTTACTCGAGGTCTGCAAGAATTGAGGGAAAAATATCCCGATGATCAATACGAGCTTGTTTACGAGAACGATCTACTCCAGATCAGATGCCACGATTGTAAAGGACGACTGTACAAGGTGCATTATCAAAATTGTGATGTTTCGAACATGGAGTGGCATGCGAAATCGACTGTACATGCCAATCGAGTAGAAGAAAGGTTGGCTGAAGCAGGAGTTGAAACAAGGCTCACAGATGGCGTCAAATACAGACGAGAAGCCCTCGAAGCTGCAAAAAGGACTGCTCCACAAAGGTTCCGAAAACCACAACCTAGACCTGTAGTTTCAAGACCTTCTGTAACCCAGATGCACTCAGCACCACAACATCCAGGCTCTACTTGGAATGTACCCTTAAACCAAGAAATTTCTCAGCAACCTCGAACAAACAGCCCATATCAACCGTCTTCCACGCCAGACCAAATTCGACTCACCAATCACCAAATATTCGAATTGGACAGTCCCAGCGCCACGTCACCTACTCATCGACTCATCTTCCAAGAATCTAATCAACATGAGTCACCTTATCCCAGGATAAAACAACTAGAGTCGCGTGTCAAGGGCTTGGAACTTGAAAACAACGCACATGAACGTACGATTTCTGTGTTACAAGATAAATTGCGCACACAACAACAAGTAAATAATACTCACCAATCTGTCATAAAAGATTTAATCCTCCGCATCCAAGCATTAGAGCAGAAAAGATGAATAGCGAGGACCGACGCTCACGAATATTAAATTCTAAATTCTTGTAACGCAAGCGATGATGAATCAGAGGGATGGCACAGGTGCTAGGCTAACTGAGAGTGGGTTTGGTCTGGAAATATTACTGGAATGGCTATCTGGTGGACATCGACCTAAGTTTTGACAATCGAGGAAGAATTAGAAGAAGATGATGAAGGCATATTGTACGCTGAGCGTCCGTCAGATATGGCTGTCAAATGCCTAGATGACATGAATGCCTTTGGGGACCGTTTATTGGTGAAAGATAGGGCAGTTTGTATATTTAGTACTTTATGTATCGCTGATGTTGTAGCAGTCTAGAAGTGTTCAAAGAAGAACGCGTTATGTTTGTAAATTAATGATTTACACATACGAACAGCTGAGCTTATTACCATCAATTTATTTGCTAGTCACCAATTCTACCAATTCTTGGTATATAAGCACATACCAACAGATAGTAGTTTAATGTAAATCTTGCTTGAGAAACATCGACCTGGACATGAAAAGAGGATAGGGCTACTAGACGACAGACAAGTCCTCCAAAAAACCTGTGAGCCTAATCATGCCTTCCAAATTTCTATTCGTATTTATACAATATCGGGTAAACAGTGGATATCTATCTCGTTTCTACTATCTGTACTTCAATCAGTAAACACTCCATTATCTAAAGCATGCAAATATGAACAGCGATAGTTGAGAGCGATACATCCAACATTGTGAGGTGCTTAAGAAAATAAACGGAGAACTGTCTGTTCATTTGAATTGAGTAAAAGCTAAGAAGGGACTTCTTCTATACGCTCTGTCTTGAGAGGTTCTTGATATCATATGTATTTAATTTACGGAGGTAAAATTATGATCAGAAATCCTCAAATCAAGAAAAGCTACTAACTTAGCGACCTCGCTAAATTACACTATAGAGAATCTGATATAAGGTCATTTGCATTTGTGTCAACCTTATTAGTACTTTCGACATCACATTTGATAATTTCAAAGGACGCCTGAAAGAGTCGTACCAGGCAGGCTCAAGATTGGTAGGGATTTGAACACGCTTACACGTCATGGTATCTCAATGTCTAATGTAAATTACAAAATATTCACTGGCGCATCAAAGATCTCCAAGCCTATGCTCCGTTTTTGATTCATTAAGTTTCTGTATGAGTTTTTCAGGGATACTCTTTACCAACTTGATTATTTCTCTCGACAAGAAGATATCGAATTTTGGGCACCGGTATTTATTTATCGGAAAAATATAGATTTGAAGATGGTGCCCCTCACATTCTCAGCACAAAAATGAAAACCCCATTCACGTTCTAACTCCGACCGGCAGATTGTTTCAAATCTTTTAACCTTAAAATAAACTTTGTTTCTCACTGATTCCTCCTTTCATTCTATGAAAATCCTTCGCATCCTTATTATTCAGGGTTGAGGCCCGGGCTGACTGTACTATAGGGCTATTTATATAAGCTTATCGTATCTATGGGGTCCTCTCACATCAACGTTACATCACCGGTAAGTCTATAATTGTAAACCCAATGAAAACAGATGGTATGACGGTCATTAGTGAAATTTTGGCCCTTCGAAATTTAGATTCTCTCATAGGATTTATTATCTTAATCTGATTTCGGAACTCGGCAGAAACTTTGGTGACTCTTCTGCAAAGGGACAGGAAAGACGGATGCTTATTGGAGCTCACAAGTATGGAGATCTTCATTCGTACATACCATTGAATGGATTCGATGACATACACGTTCCATTTGATACTGACGGCAGTAAAACGCATTAATGACTTAATTTGATTTTGACATACAGAACAATTTTTTAAATAGAATCGGGGTCATCTGCTACCTAACCGTCTTCTCGGCCGAGGAGACCCGCTGTCAAACGGAGGAAAATCTTTTGCTCAAGTTATCATAGGAATATTCTCGACTAGTGTGTTTCTGATCAGACAGTAAGATTCACGCTTGGAGATGAAACTATTCCCTCCATTCTAACTTTGAGCCTCCGTACCAATGTTTTGAATGTCATTAACTATGTTGTATCACGCTGTGTTCAGATTCTGGTAGGGGATTTTGTGATTTCTGTTCACCGAGTTCTGCATTGCTAAAATTTATAGTTATTGAGAAATTCTGCGTATCTGTTCATTACTGTATGACCAGAAAGTCCCGCCGGTACCTAGTATCTCAAGTATGAAACCCCCGATAAGTACCGCAAGTGATTATCTCGGCTTGGTGGCTATGCGGGGCATTCTTCGGAGGATCAGTCAGATTCATTTCTTTGGGAGAACAATGTAACACTCGAATTTGATGCTTAGTGACATACCTACGTCCTTTTTCCTTGGCTTTGAGGCACATTCATGAAGGAACTTCCTACTGACAACTAAGTAAGGTATGTACGTGCTAAGCTGTGAAATCTTCATGGCCTTCCTCATCAAACAGGTAATATAAATATTCTCAAATGTCTTTGCTATACCAAAACTTCCATACACAGCATTCTCTTCAATTCACTCTTTACTCTTGATTCACTACACTATCATTAAGTTTATCTTTCGTTTCTTAAACAACAATCAAAATGAAGCTCTCTCCAATCGTCGCCTCCGCGCTCCTTCTTTTCCTCCCCGCCATCGTATCCGCGGCCCCTACCTCATCTCCCGCTGAGATTTCCACCATAGAATCAGACCCTACCCAAATCTTCGGTCGCGATGGCCAAACATGTAACGAGCCAAGACCCGTCATGACAGGTGACAAGACCAAAGACGATGCCGCCACAAAGAAATACAACGATCTCAAGACAAAGATGGCGGACGCCACTACCGCTGCCCACAAGGGACAAACTGCTTGTCCCTCGACTTCGCTTACCGATTCACGAAATCGAAGGATAAGACGAAGAGAACTCAAATTAAGACCAAGTGTGTCAATGGCTATCAAGCGTACGTATCTCCGAATTTTCTTCTCGTGGATCCTGAGAGAGATTTCATAAGTTTGGTGACTAACTAGTGAGAATAGGTGCGTCAAGAACCGTAAGGCAGCTAATACTGCTTGCACTCAACTTGGAGGAACTGTTGATCAAGGTCACTTGACTGCCGTCACCGTTTGCCAAACATCGCTTGACACCTGGAAGGCAAAGAATCCTTAGATAACGGTTCAATTTATCATATTTGACAGTTTGACTGTCTTTCAAGATTGAAGATAAAGTTTAGGGAGCTTTCTGTTTGTTTGATTTATTTCTATTATGTCTTCTTAGGAAGAATTTTGGCATTGGATGGTTGTGTCGTTTAAATGAAGAGAAATTGCATATTGGTTGGAATAGGATTGGGTTTACTAGAAGTTTGTTTTTACAGATAGCATCAATGCATAAAGGAGCTTATTTGCACCCTTAATACCCTTGTCTTGCTGAGTATGAAGTAGAAGTGTTGTTATAAATTGACTCCAGAAGTGTTCGACACCTGTGGGAAGCTTTTGGTCGGATTTGAAAAATTCTTGTGGGTTTGCGCCACGAGTCTGGTAAAGCTCAAATTTATGTCTTCCATTTTTGAGCAGTTTAATCAACGATGTTTTGATTTGATTTTGATGTTCCAACTTTCTAAAAAGGCGAGTATGGAGAGATTTGTTGATAAATAGGAACTAAGGGGATCCATTGGGGCTCTGTTCTCACGAGCACCAATCTGGAAATATCTGACGGTCGTGAATGTTCAAAGTGCAAAAGATAATGAGGAATCCGAACGACGATTGATATTTAATAAAAATGTATAATCCGATTACTTAGTATAGAATGAATATTCTCCAGGTCTCAAGGGGTTTAGAACAGTGATTTAAAAGCTATCCCAAGTCCAAACCTCTCATCGTTTGTTTGGCATAAAGATTTCCATGGAAAAAATGTAAAAAATGAAACCATATCAACCATTCCATTTATATTGATGTCACCAGCTACGCTCTAAATAACTCCATATACCTGATCATCTGATCTGATTACAGATACTTGAGCTGCCACGATTTCTTCTTCTCCGGACTTGACTAGATTAACATTCCCAGCATCGGAGATTACAAAAGCCCAATTACCCAACTTGCAGACTGGTCATACTGACTCCTTCATTTAGCCACCTACTATTGATTACCAGTCTTTCGGATGGCTAGCCAGTTATCTCTGTAGATATAAACGCTCCGCAGGGGTTCTCTGCAATTCACAAGAACTTACGATGCAAAAAGCTTTTCCACATGGCTTCCATGACATCAATCCTCCTCGACCTCGAGAAAACTCAGATTATCGTAGTATATCTTCTGAACAGTCGACTTCCAGCAATTGTCACCTTTATTTGCACCATCAATCCAGAATAACGATAATTTTGGTGCTAATTCAAACATTTTCTGAGCACAACTTTGAATCGTTGCTTCGTCGTAATTTGCAACCTGCGATTCTCTTAAAATACTATCGAAAATAAGATCCAGATTTTCGAGAGCAGGAAAGGTGTGTTCGAACCTGCCACTCATAGCTTCTTGCCAGTTAAAGTTGCAGGATATTGTCAAATCTCCTAGATTGTCACAATACCGGGCGAGAGAAAGAATGGAATTCCATGTAAGCAGATCTGAGCGTTCAAAAATGATTCTCAAAGAGACAATACTGTCTCCTAATGCTTCAGCGACCTCTTCAATAACATCATCAGTAATACCTGCAGTTGAAGGACGGGATGCAGGACCTGGCGGAGAGAACGCGCTATCATCAACTTCTCCAAGCGAAAGAGAAGACAGTAAAGGGCAGTTCCGTGCAAGAAGTAAAAGATCGCTACCGCTGATGCGACTGCGTGGTCCAAATTCGACTTTGAGATTTGTGAGGTGTGAAAACTTTGATGCAGATGCGAGAATACTAAGTGATGGAGGCAAATTTTGTAAAGTAATAGATAGGTCCTCCAATTTAGGTACATGGTAAGCCAAGCATTCTAAATCACGCTCAGAAATACCAGTACTCAAGTGAACATCTAATTTTGGAAATACAGAAATAGAAGGGTTCGTGCGATAGACGGAGTTGACCCAATTGTCCTGGACATCAGGAATCTCAATGTAGGTCAGGTTCGGAAGTCTGGCTATGGCTTCAAATGCCTCGTAGGACCAACTATCGTGAACCCCACTCTGAATGACGAGGGCAGTAAGTCCATCCGCCCTATTCAAAAATTGAGTAAGTCCATCTTTGGATAGATTACTTCCACTTATTTTACTGAGATGAAGAGATTTTAATCTTGGGCAAGAGTGTGTTAGTTTGTCAAAAAAAGCATCGGAAAGGCGGCTTCCTTGGTACACCATAAAGCTCTCTATGTTTGGTTGTGCGTAGTGAATGATAAATTCTCCCGTGTTCAATCCAGTCGCGTTGCTCGATTCGTGAAGGCTGAAATCTTTCAACTGAGGAAATCGCAAGGCAGTGAGTTCCTTATGCCACCTTGCCTCGTCAAGATACGTCCCATCATCATCATTTTCTCCTTCTTCTCCTTCTTCTGAAAATCCAAGCACGTGTACAAAATCGGCATAGTACTGCGCTCTTTCAGTATTTTGAATGGCGATTTGAGCGAGATGTCTAATATTGGGCGTCCCCTGTTCAGCAAAGCAGTAAGCTCCGCATGCGTACCACAGAATTCTACTTGCTTCTTCCGAGAATGTTTTGGAGATGAAGAGACACGTGTGTAGAAAGCCAGGGCTTGAGCTGTTTGTCTCCAGAATTGTTGCAACAATTTCGGGGAGCAGAAGTGCGCGATGCATGGCGAAATGCTGCAGTTTAGGATAATGGAGTTAATCAGAGATACCAGACCACAGAGGTTGGGTATGTTTTGTATAAAGGAACGTAAGGGTACTAATGGCACTTAAAATAAGAACAATTCAAGATTGGAGAAGATCGGAGAGAAGAGACCACCTATTTATTATTATTGTTGTTGTTGTTGTAATCCTACGCTAGGTACCTAATAAGCAGTGAGATTGAGCTTGGTAAATTCACCAAATTGTAATCACGTGGTTCTTACACTGCCACAGGATGCGTCGGAATTTGCATGACAATTATTTTTAGAAGTAAATCCACCCAGTATGATTCCAATTATCAAATTAGACCCCAGGCGTGAACATGGGCTGTTTGCTGATCGCTTGAGAGCAGCAGTGCATGCAGGATCAAAACAGCTACAAAAATATAAGATTACTTATAGATGCCAATGCTACTAGAACCACGTGAGAGTAGGATTTCTGACGACTCTATAACATCTTCATCCTATGGAAAGAATTAAAAATCTATTTAACACTCCTACTATGCTTGAGCCCATGTTTCATAAATTATATTCGAAGTATTAGTATTCACTGATGGTAATACCGCTTTCAACTGATTAACAATTCAGTTGAACGAGAGTGTAACAGGGCCTCGGCACACACAATTCCAAGTTAGAAAGAAAAGAGGCTCCTGTTACTCCCAACTAGCTCTAGTCTCTATTCTCGTCGCTTTCCATATCGCTTACCACATCATCTACCACATTGTCCACCACATCTTCTACCATATAGACGAGCTGCATATCATCATACTCTGAATACCACTCCTCTCGAGGAACATGGCACTTTGTGTGGTATTGTCCATAGTGAATGCATGTATAATAATGCGAATTCGTTTCTGTCATAGGAAAGAAAGTAAAGAACCCTAAGCACCATGGCATGATAAGGTCTTTCTTAGAAATCGATTCCTTGACAACCTCTTCTTCTGGCCACGACCCTGGTATGTCACTTTTCTCTGAGCATTGAAGACAAGCATGGCTGATGGCCTCAGAAACGTTCCGTGAGTACGTAGCTAGTTCCATCGACAGTTTTACAGCTGGTTTCACCGACAGTTTTTCAGATTCAAAGTAGGAGTAATCGTCACCATCAAGTAGCCGCTGCAGGAATGCTTCCCGTGCGTTCTCTATTGTATGGTATTGTAAACCTTCCATCAAAGCGGGAATTCCCAAGAAGATTTCTTCATCATACAGCTCTTGAATCTTTTTTTCGTCCCATCCTATCTGAACGAGCATTTCAAAGAGGTGCTTCCAAGCCCCGATTTGAATTGCACAGTCGATCATAGAGTAATATTTTACAACCCCATATTCACGAGGGGGGTTCGTCCCCGTTTTAAACAAGTCGTTTTTCTTTAAGTCGAGACCTTTTAGCAGTAGTATTCTGAGCCGATTACTACAGCAGTGAACAATTTCTTCTCTACTTCTGGACCCACTGTAGGAATTGATGAATTCTAGGATCGATATCACAGGTGAAGTATCTTTGCCATATCGCATAAGTATTTTATCCACTTGCTCATCAGGAACTAAGTAGTATTGACATCCTCGATCTAGTGCAGCATCTAATCCATCCCCTTGAGGATTCTCAAAAAGTTGACGACTATTTTCAAAATAGACACCCTGATGGCTTGGGAACTCGTGACAATTCCAGTCAATCAACTGTTCTTGATTCCTGAGGCACATTATGCGCTGGCTGTATTTTGGCGACGGACGATCTATATGCAATAGCGAAAACGGAATTTCTGAATTCTGGATGAGGTAATCTTGCGAACATTCTAAAAATAAAGACATAGCCTCATACGCTTTCTCAATTCTCCATGCAACGGTTATCCACAAGAAGAATTTAAGATCTTTGGTCTCGATATGTCTATCAACTTGGTACCCAAGAATGAATTTTATCCATCCCAAATTTCGATTCTCGTCAAAATCTGTTCTATTCCAGGACCCGAAATTTAGTAAATTACGAATTCCCTCAATTCCATCTTGTGGGGAAGCCCTTCCTTGTTCAATTAAGTTTCGAGCTGTGTCGATGTCAAATTCCTTGACTGCTTTATGAAACTCACTGCCCTTTGCATGTACGTAGTACGGTCTAAGGGAAATGAAACTTTCGCGAGAATAAGGCACGATAGGTATCTCATGTCGTAAATCGAGGCCCCTTCTAGCCCAGGGTATCGTAAGGGAAATAGATACTGAAGTCGAAGATAAATCGCGTGAGCCCGAGGGTGACCTTGAGAATTGATATCGATCATTGGAATACGATGAAAATGTGATGGATACTTTAACTCCGAGGAATCGGTATTCGTAAAATGTTGATGAAATGAGGCTGTTTCTTTTGTTCCTCCTCTGCATCTTAGCAGATATTGAAGGAGCATGGTGAGGTGTCGGCGTGACATGGCGTGGATTTGAGCTCGAAAGAGACACAGCCACATCATTTTCTCGTTGCTCTGCAAGTTTGGCTACATTTATTGGCAAATTGTGTTGCAAACACTTGCCAACAAGAAACTGGACTTGGGGCCCAATATCTAAACGTTGTGCTTCGATGCATTCCTCCATGGCTCCTTTTAAGCTTGCTAACAGATCCTCACGAACATCCTCCAATGCTTTGGTAGCTATAGTTGTTGACATGATCTGTACTAAGTGACTTTGATTTTTCTGCATTTCCGAGCGAAGTGTCTCGGTTTGGTTTTGTTGCGCTGATATGATTGCATCTCTCGAATCATGAATGGCATGCGGAACTGCTATAATATTGGCACTTATGTCCCTTAATAAGTCACTTTGTTCGAGTTGAATAATTCTGAATAAATCAGTAAATGTAGTTATTGAGGTAGTCTTGCCATACCTTGATAGATTTTGTTGAACCAGCGTAACTTGTTGTGTGGTGCTATCCACCCACAGCATTAACTTCGTAATCTCTTCTTTATTTGCAGCATATTTTAGTCGATGCCAGAATTGTTTCCACTTATTCTTGGAGCCCTTCGTTGAATTACCAAAAATTTCCACGGATGAAGAGAGCTTGCTTTCAACAGATTTGATGGCCTCAAGCATATGTGCTCCAGCCGCAGGTATATCTTGCATTCCATAATGAGTCTTTAGTTGTTCATGCTGGCGTAGAACTTCATTCGAGCTCTCTTCGATGCTTTTAATACACTCCGCAAGCCTTGTGATGTCTTTAGATGCGTTTTTGATGTCGCCGATAATTTCTTTGACGACTTTACAGCCGCCTGCGATTTGTCCGATGAATCCCACCACCCCGGTAACACTTGCGATGCCACCGATAGCTTCCATGAAGTTCAATTGGTGCAGTAATGATTTTTCTTTTTGAGGTTTTGTTATTATTGAAAGGAGATTGTGCTCGGTTTACAGAAGACCTGCCTGTCAATGTATATCAATGCTGAGTGCGCAACGAAAGTTGCATGCTACCTAAATAAGCGATACGAGACTCGCGCAATCTTGACCCAATAGTTTTAACCAAGGCTAAGTACAATGAAACACGAAATGCGCAAAAGCCGACAAGTTAATCAGTAATTGGAAGTAAATTACATGGTAATATGCCGACTTTTGGAACACAGCCACTTTCCCATTAATTAGTGGTCAGAATAGTTCATGATCCGGAGGCAGTGCACTCTGGCATTCAGCTCTCAACTCCTCAATCCATTAGAATATTCGACTGGATCGGAACACTTGATTCACTTCCATCATCAAGATGTTTTCAAACGTTAACAGCTTTAGATTTAGCAATCAGTGTTGTTAGACCTTGTATCTGTGGATTTTGTGGGGTCATTATTCTGATCGTGGGGTAATTCAATGATCCTAGTAACTCTTTTCGACTGATGGAGATAGGAAAGTCGTCATGGGACACCGAATCGGTGAATCAGAATCAGCAATAACAACAATGAACCGATAACAATAGATGAAAGTATTGCATGCGATTTCCTAGTCATCATGTTTCTCTCGCATATATTCTCACGCACCAGATTTACCTAAGCACATTGGTCGCATGCTATGATTCTCAACAATGAGCAAGCTTTGCCAGTAATGTTAGATGACGTATCCTGAACTATTGAGCCTGACTATATACATATATACACACCTCGAATGCGCTTCTTACCAAAGATCAACCTCGAGAAGAATGTGAGGTACTTCAGTCGAGCCGGTTGGCATTGCAAAGGTTACATTCCAATACTCAAAATCATTAATAGTGGCATCTGTGCCGCCATACTCTCCTGCGTAAGACAAGGTATAATTCATGTCAATTGTACCAGACACGTTCAAACTCAATCCTTGGATATCTTCGATTCTTGAAATAGTCCTCTTCGCGACGAATGGTGAAACCAAAAAGGTAAATATTGAGGTATCATTTCCTTCCGGATAAGTCAAATTCAACGAACCACTACCAGCTTCGGCAATCACATGCATTTCTGTTGCATAGAGCGTGAGCCAGCCAATTCCATTGCCAGTATTCCATTGCATAAGAGCGGGGTTGAAGGTGCCTTGATTCTTAGCAGGTCCACCTATAACATTCTCGTTGAATGTTTCAGCGCCAATGCTGATATTGTTTGCAAGCCAAGCTGTAATATTTCGAGGATAGTAGTCAAACGGCGGCGAATAGGTTGAAGAAGTAAATGTGTGCTCCCCTTTGAAATTTACAAGGGCATCTGTCACATTTGCTGGTATTAAACTATTGTGGAATTCGGATAATATTGCGAATAATGGACCGTAAGCAAAATCGGCATTGTGTGACATAATATAAGGCTTGTTGATGATTGAAGACTTGGACTTCCCTACAGCGTTCCAGATGTGGAGTGCCAGAAGACTCAGATATTTTGTCATATCAAAACCGTATGAACGATCCCAAGGGCCAGCAACATTCAAAAGCTGAGGATGCCACAGATTAGAAACTGCTTCCCAAGTATACTGGATCATCGAGGCACCTCTCTGTTTCATCACAGAATCTTCTGGCAAATACTTAGCCCACAAACTCATGGCGAACAAAGATACGCCAGTATAAGTGCCACTGTTGAATTCCGAGAGTGTGTTAGCCCGATCAAACAAGTCAACGATTTGTTGAGCATAATTCTCGCCGGCAGTTGTCATATTACTGTCGTTCAATCGACGACCGGTCCATCCGGAAACAAAAGCTCTCATTATCGACTAGCATTTGATTAATAAAGATTACGCATCATAGGCTGGGTGATGCACTCACAGGATTGGTATAAGCAGGATACAAATTATCGCCATCTACTCCACCGACACGATAACTGTCACCCACGGTCGAATTGTACAATGATTCCAGCATCATACTAGTCACATTTGGCGAGATTAGGGAACCGAACTCCTCAAGACCAACAATAAAGGCTGTTCCTATGAAACCACGCCAATTTGGATCCCATGAATTGTATATACTCGGCGCATAATACGAGCTTCCCACTTCGGGTTCCTCTGGTTCCTTCTGATAATCCCCATACCTAAAGTTTTCAGTCGATACCTCATACCACTGGATACAACCAAACTCACCACTGCGCTTCAGGGTCCTTGAATTGACCACCAATAACATTAGAGATTATCTTCTCGGCTTCGGATACGTCCGAGCCTTGGTTCCTTGCCAAAAGTCCAATGGCGTACCATGCTGAACTTCTAGTATCGTGTCTCAATGCAGCAGCTCCACTCATTTCATAAAGATAGCCAGCATTGTCGTCGTATGCCCGATCCAGATAGTCCATAGATTCATTGAAGAGTCCTTGGGCATTTTGTGGCAGAGTACTAACATACGATCGAGCCTGAGCAGTCGAGCGGGCGAGGAAAAACAATGTAGCAACTTTTGAAAGACGCATTTTGAAGACAATCATGAACAGTGGTACTTCTCAATGGAAATCCATTGCATATATATACATGTTGGATACCTTACCATTAGTAAGTACATAGATGGGGGTATCATGCCTGGTGGCCGCGGGGTAAACTGAGGGGCCGGGAAATTTACATCATTGATACGCAGTCAAGATTCCATTCAGGTCATAAACTCCGGAATTGTGGATCAATCATTGAAGGTATCTGTCGGTGAATAATGTAACGTTAACACAATGAGCATGGCGGTATACGAAGTATATAGATAGCGAGTCATCAAGTAACACTGAACATTTCGTACTTGGGGTCGCCCTGTTCTGGAGATATCGAAGATATTGTCGTTGCCATGGATGATGAGGATACTCCAGTGGATGTAGTAATCTATATCGTTGAAGTGGGTGGTAGTTTGGTTCGAAATAAGGTTTCGAGTAAGATTACCCAGGCAAGGTTGTTACTTTCCAAAAATTATACTCAAGAACTCATATTTTCGTTGATGAGTAAGCACGCGCGCACGGATCCACCATGATTTGTATCGTATGATACAATTTTTGTGAAACCCCCTTCATCACTATCATCGTCGGCAAACTGAATTCATCCAAAGTTTGAGGATTTTCTTCTCCATCTAAATCAGTTATACGGACAGGAGTACCGCAAGGCCAACACCACGCCGGAACTTCTACACCATCCACTTCATTCAATATCCACGCTCTTCTCTGTACTCGAAGACCCCTGCAGTTTGAGCGAGCATTTGCGGAAACTAACATGTAATATGATACCCACCACCACAAACCCACAGCACAGGAAACCCGCCACCAGGAAATTTTTGGCACCTCCTGTAAAAGTGGCATGTCTAGAATGGTAACGTTATTTTTCACTAGTATCTTTAGAAGATGTTTACCAACACAATGCCAGTCGTGCTGCACGCACTCGATGCAATGGTAAAACACCATGTGCAAATGTGAGTGATACTTTGAATTGTTGAAAACACATTGGTTAATATCATTAGTGTGCCAATCGAGGTTGCGATTGCGTCTATACACCGAGCAAGAGAGGTGGTGCAAGAAGACGCAAGAAGAACACCAATAGCGAAGGTCGTATAGAACAATCCCCACCAAATGAGCTCCGTAAGTACCCAAATATTTGCCAAACATTATTCTGATCTGTCATTAGTTACTGGTCCAGCCCCGGTGGTTTCATTGGCCACCCCTGGCGCTGGTCTTCTCCAGAGAGATGAACAATTGGATTTTGATATGGACTTTGCATTTGACTCAAACATGCAAGGGAATCAAGAACCTTTGTCAATGAACGATGGATTTTTATCACAAAATGTGCTAGATGATACCTTTCAAATGGAGAAAGAAACACCTGTAGTAAGAACTTATGCTAACGATGAGGACATGTAAGTTCTGTTACCTGTCAACCTGGGTAGAAACATTGAGTAACATGACTGACCAAATTTGACGCGGTAGTTTGAGCGCATATTATGTTTACATCCATCCGTATTTCCCTGTTCTTCCACCCCCTTTGATCAACCAAGCTGTTGACAAATTGGAAACCGGGGTACAAGGACCAAACGATATCTTATTTCATAGCAGAAGCAATCCACAATTTCAATCTGCTTCCCCGATGACTCTTGCGATCTCCGCACTACTTGCACTAATTCCACATCCTGACGATCCAAGCCCCACATCTCCAGAATCTATTATACTACGTCGAAATCAAGCACAAGTCTTTGCTCAGTTAGCGATTGACGGCGTTGAGATTGAGAATGAGATGATAGAGTCTATAGTGGACCCTGGGGAGGCTCTAAGCGCCCAAGAGATGCAGATATATCGCTCACAAATTCACTCGCAAGTAAGGTTGGAGGCGGAGAGTACAATCGCACTGCTGCTACTATGTACTTATGAATATTCCCAACGAGGAAATATTTCGAAGATGCGCAAGAGGTGTGGACAAGCTTTGGTATCTGCCATGGACTTGGGATTACATTCAAAGGATAAAGTGGATTATGCATATGCCGAATCAGATAGACGAGTATGGTGGATGACGGTATGGTTACAAGCTGCGGTTTACATTCACCTTCAGCTCCAACGCTAACTTCTGGAAAGTACGTCTGCGTTTGCCAAGGCTCTATACTTAGTTGCATGGTATGTATTTCTCTCCAAGCGCTCATTCCTTCATGTTTTGACCAAAGCTATAAAGGCGCCCTCGATTCTCCTCTCCGATCCAAGATTCACGACGCCACTCCCAACCTTTGGGTCTGATTCGGATGTAAGTGCAAATACCCATTTTGATTTCCAATATTACAGCAAACTAAGCGCAGGAATTCAGGCTTGGGATGTTTTTCTTGAAGCACAAAGAGTGATTGCAACAGCAACACAATTCGTGATTGATCTCGAATCGTCTTTGAAATCAGAATCTCATGATCTGAAACTCTGGGAGGCAATGGCAGGATTGGAAAAGACCATTGAGCCGCTGGTTCAAAATGCAGAAAAGTGGTCCTATGGAAACGTGGATTATATGGAACCATCAGAGAGCGTCGTCGCAAAAAGCCTGCGGCTGATGACACGTATCAAGCTGAACAGGTACTTCCTTGGGTTTTTTTCTCTTCGGTGGGGTAATAGCTAATTATCCTTGAAGCGCGAGGATTAAGATCCATCGATATTGTGCGTTCTCCGATATGCCAGTCTTCACGAAGAAGCATTGTGACTTGTCTTCCACCACCCCTTCTGTTGGACAAAATCCGGGTACCGCCTGCGGTTGTAGCAATAACCTACAGCAAGCCACGGCCACTTTGACGCTCAGTCCCGGTATTCTAAACTCCCCATTACCTGATGATAGTTCTGTTTTCGATTCTCCGATTCTGCCATTTAGTGGTCGATTTTCCTCAAAAGTATGCATGCAATCCGCATTCAACATCGCCCAATCATTCCGTGCTTTGCCATTTCCACGGCCTTCAGATCCAAGGAATACTTCCTATTGGAACAGCACTATACAAACAAATCTACCTCGCATGATGCCAATATTTGCCTGCTGCAGTATGCAAGCAAGTTACTCAATGATTATGCTTTGCCACAAGACTCTTGCAATTAAGCAAGCTACTTCTTTCGAAGATGGACTCAGGAGGAGGACCGATAAGCTATTATTTCAATTACATGAGGGCATCAAAATGATTCTGGATGCCTTGGAGAATTATTCAACGGCAAATGAAGCCTTGAAAGGGATGCGAGGTAAGTCTACTAGTTGCGATAATATGACAGAAAACCACTGACCAGTCACCTCGAAGATCAAATACGTATGGCGATGGATTCCGTTGCGGCTGTTCAATGATAATCTTTGGACTCTTCCTTTCCATTGGCGGTTGAATAGTACAATATATAAAGTTTATGTAACTCTTTTAGGAATCGTGTTCATGGGACTGAGTCGATAGTGTTTTGGCGAGGTCAATTTGGACCAGGGTAACATGATCTGTACTTGACCGGCGCGGGAAAATTTGAATCTCAAAATTGGGCGCTCGTAAGAGATGTATCAATTTGATTAATATTTTGATAATTCTTGCCTTCATCGGTGGATATCAATTTTTCGGCTCTAAGCGACTTTCCAAAAAATTTCATTTCCGCCCACGATTTGAGCTGACTGGGGAGATATGATCTATTCCTCGCTGTACCGCTAAACATAATTCACCCCAAATCCCTAAGTAAACGCAATGTCACTGTACGAACTTGTTATCGTGGACCTCATTTATCTAGTATACCCTGGATTTTCCTTCAGCTTGCGGAAAGGTGTCAATCTAGGTTGAGCTGAAAATTGTTTCGTGGTAAGATCAACATTATCATTTCATTTATTGAAATGCCATCATACAACAGAAAATTCATTAGGATCATCGGTCAGTTTTCTCTTCGTGGATTCCTCATGGATAATCCTATTCGGGGTCAAAGATATTTACAGTAGGCTTCTCCTCATTTGGCCATAATTTGAAATAATCCTTCAAAGTGTGTTGCCACTCGTCATCCAATCACCGTCGGAGCTATTTGAACATTAGAATTCTTTACAACACAGCCCTCATTGGAAGTTATACACACAATAGACTAAACCCATCCCCAGCCAACATCTTCGCACGCATCAGAATAGTCGCGACAACAGCATTGTATTCTTTTCTCACGGTTTTACATAGTTAAAGCCAAAACTATTGAATTGGGTCAGGATGAAATCTTCATGCTCATCTTGTCCATTTCTGAAAGTTCCGCGTTCAAAAGTGGGGAGATGGTAGTCATCTCTCGTCGAGAAGAGGAGCGCTTTTTTCGAGTGATTTGATGATGAGATTGGCGTCGCAAATTAGTTGGGGCCAGAGATTGGACCATGCGGTTTGGTCTTTAACCTCCCAGCAGTGTGTGTAACTGAGACATGCAATATATTAGTGATACATTTGGGGTAGAGTGGGTAGAGAGAGAGCAGCCATAAGGGAACACGCACTATGACTTACCCCATATTGATAAAGTGTTGTTGCCGTGTTATGAGGTTAGCATCTGGAGTAAGTCAATCGATGTTCTTGGTTTATGAAAAAGTTCAAACATAGAGGAATTTTATCAAACTTATGTATCCATGAAGAACTCGCGATGACAAGATATTACCCAGAAAATGAATGTTGGGAAACGCGTTGGTGTTGGAATATTAGGAAACAAGGGGCGCAGTATCGCGATATGTATGCGAAATCATATGACCTTTGTCTATGCTATCCAATGGGCCACGTGGGTAAATCCAAACGCCGCGGCTGAGTTTAAACCTATTGTCACCGAGTTGGTTTTTCGGATGAGCTCGTTCACAGAGCTGAATGAGAAGTTCTACGTCGCTTGTAGATTGGCTAATACATACAAAGAGCCTACGAAGTAAAACTTGTGTATCTGAGCTACTCTGCTGGAGTGACGTATTCGCAGGCAGATAAAAGTCGAAGCGCATCTAACTTGCCCTGGCATGATGGTTTGCTTCTGATGTCTATCAAGAAATAGCGCTATTCCATTCATATTTACACAGCAACAATGTCGGCTTTCAATTTCTTAATTGACGGCGATGAAATTTCTCCAAAACTTCCTGGAATCTTCATATTAAATTTAGACATGCAACCAGGTATAACAAGCCCTTCATATCTTCAAACACACTCCGTATTCAACAAATTGGCAGACCTACTTATGATGAGTAAGTTCAATTGCTCATCCTCCGCCACCTCCCATCACTGGTAATCTCAATGAAAGCAACACAAAACCTACTCCGATGACCCAATCAAACAAGTACGATTCAACATAACTTAACTCCTCCTTAATCAAGAACTTTCCTAGCAACTCGTAGCAATTCGTAACGTTCGTACCAAGCGCACCCATACATACATGACCCCAATCCACGGTTCCTCCCGCATCGCTTACCCAAATTAGACCACCCGATTCCACATCTCTCATCCTCCTTATTTCAACCTCCGTCAAATCCCAAAGAAGTTATTTCTCGCATCCACACTCAATTCTTCCATCCTCGCATCCAATCACAATTTCAAAACATTCACCCCCAAACAAAGCGCTTACACACAATCGCTTACTAACACACTTGCATTTCTTCGCGAAATGATTCCCGGTTCCTTGATCCTTCGTACTACGGTGACTAAAAATCTGGGCGATCGCGGTTGTGATGTCAGCAAATTTGCTGGGGTGAGATATAACCTTAAATCCTTATGGGATTTTAGAATTCGTATTAGCGGGCAATTTTGCTTGTATGGTTGTGTTAAATTAATTCCTTCTCGTACTGATGATTTTTAATGCTTGTTTTTGATAGGGAAATTGACTAGGAAGATTTCTATAGTTGGGATTTGGTGGATTCTGTGTTAGGTTTTGGTGTTTGACTGTGAAAGTATGAAGTTATTCGGGTGAAGAAAAATTCATGTGCGCATTTGATGGTTTGGAGATTTTATATATAGATTGTGAGATTCAAACTTCAATATTATCATTCAACAACAATTCATTCTTCTCACTTCATTCTTTCTTTCACACTCTCGTTAAATTCAGTCTTCACTTCTTGATTTATTTCACTATTTTCTATTTCAAAAATCATCTCACTTATCATAAAAATGTCTTCTAAATTCACCATTCCCCAACTCCTCGTTCTCCTCCCCTTCCTCGGCCTTGCCATCGCTGCCCCAGCTCAAAAGTCTACTACCAAAGCAACATCTGCCACCGCAACTATCTCCGGTACTAAATCTACCGGTACCGCAACCGCTACTTCTACCTCTGCAGCTCTCAGCACTGGTCTCTCCTCCGGCAATTTGAAGCCCACCTGTGCTCCGGGCGGGAACATCGATCTCTCAAAATGGACTCTCCAACTCCCCAGCGGTACTCAAGGACATCCTGATTCCGTCACCGGCTCCAAGCTCGCTGGTTGCAGTGGATACACATCGAAAGATTACTTCTACACCAACACCGACGGATCAATCGTCATGAAAGTGCCAGGCGGCGTATCAACCGGCTGTGTCACCACTGCCAACTCCAAGCATTGCCGCACTGAGCTTCGCGAAGCTAGTCCTAGTTCCTGGAGTCCAAGTTCTGCAAGCAATAAACTCAGTGCTACTCTTCAGGTAGTTACTGCGGATGATTCTTCACATGGAACGGTCATTGGTCAAATCCATATCGATGATAGTGTATCTTCCAAGCCTGTGTGTGAATTGTTTTATAACTCTAAGGGAGTCATTTCGATGGGTGTTGAGCAGACCAGAGATGGTGGTAATGAAATTGTTACCCAAGTTGGGAGTGTAGCCGTTGGATCCAAGTTCTCTTATGAAATTGCTTATGAGGGAGGCAAGTTGAGTGTGGCTATTAATGGGGGTGCAGCAAAGACATTGGACACTTATCAATTGGATAGTCCAAAGAGCTACTTCAAGGCTGGTAACTATAACCAAGGGAACAGCAAGTCTGAGGTGCACTTTTTTGCGATTGATGTTCAGCATTAAATGAGTTGCCTGGGAGAGGTGGTGATGATTGAGTGTCAATGATGGGAAGTGTGTGCTAGTGGGTATTGGGGACGATGAGTGTTTTGTTCTTGGAATTTTGACTTCTGTATTGTATTCATATTTCTTATGCCTCTTTTCGATCAAGCTTTGGGTTTATAGATAGACTGCTAGCGTGTGTATTGGGGACAGTTTCGGAAAAGTAACAAATATATCTGTTTTTCCGACACGCATTTCTTCCTAAAAAAAACCCTTGATTAGACTTTCAAGCCGGCTCCGTTGCTTTTGGGAAAGAGAAACCTCTCTTCGACAATTATTTCACTGAAATAAAGCCCATGTGACTTCTTTCTTCGGCTCCAGTAGTTTGGACAACCTGCTTCATAACTTGTATTGACTATAACATACAATTATGATCACCCTGAGTTTAGCAATAACGTAGCATTCCGTGAACTAAGAGACGAGCCTTTTACTACGATTACGATATCGTAACTCCGATCCCGTGGAATTTTGATCTGTTCTCTAACTGTGGAAGAAGGCAATTAATTGGGTTCCCCAACACCGAACTTTACCCAAGTTTCGGAGAGAATGACCGAGGAAGAAACATTCTGTCTCTCCTGTCTATCGTATATCATAGAAGTAACTTTGATTGTAAAGTTTTGAGGGAGTTGTTATGGGTCCCTGGGTAGATTTGATAAGCAATGTGATTCTCCGCCAAGAAGCCACAAATGGGTTAGCCACACCAAGCTTCATCCTCCCCACATTGTTTATCAAAGCTAATATATATTTTAAACGCAGCGCTTTCTGCAACAAATACAACAAAATGTGACCATTCGAGTCTACTCGAACAACTCTCGGTCGTCTAGTTGGTTTATGACGTCAGACTGTAATTGTACATTGTAATCTGGATGTCGCGTGTTCGACTCACGCCTGAGAGACTTTCTTTTTGCATTTCTTTTCTGCAACTCCTTACGTCTTTCAGAGAGAGAGAGGAAAATATTTACATGTCGTTTTGGAGAATCCTTTTTTGCTCTGTATGGGTGGAGCAAGAGAATGAAAAAAAAGAGTGAGAAAGTGGGCACTCAAATGGTGGGGTCTCATGGCTGAATGTCGGGTTTGAATGGTTCATTATTATTCTCTTCTCCTATCTGTAAGCAAAGAGAAGTTTCAGTCCTTGAGAGATTGGTTTACATTCTATACAATTTCATATATTTTTGTACCATATCATTCTAGTAAGTAATCTATCTCTTCTAGGAAAAACAAGTGCATTCCCAGTGTCATTTTTGGAGCCAGTATCAAAAGTCACGTGTAAATCAAGACCATGTAAAATTCCTCGTCTCTTTTACTACCCCGCTCCCCCTCTTCTTTTACCCACTTACCACCATCCATACATTCGTACAACTCTCCGCCCAGCGGACAATCTTGCATACCGAAGAGTCTGACCATGAGCACTCCACTCCACATCTCCCCAAACCAAAAAATCTCTTCCCTAACGCCAAAACTCACAACAACTCACCATCTTCGACATCAAACCTCAAAAATGGCAAAAGAGAATGAACAAATTCATTATTGATGATGGACTAGCGGCGAATCGAACGCCGGACCTCTCCCATGCTAAGGGAACATTATACCACTAAACCACAAGCCCGTTTTTTGTTATTTAGCTTTCAGGAGAAAAGTATATGTACTTCCGACAACCGCTGCTTTTTGAAATCGTTTTTTCGTAAATCGTTTTCTTTAAACGAACATATTATATCTTTATTTTCGTAATACGATTTTTTGAAAGATATTTTCTCTCTCCTAAAATAGTTCAGGACCTGCAAATAGGATTGGCGCAACAACTACAAGAAGGTTAAATGATATACATGTAGAAGCGCAACTTTCAATACAGACTTTGTATAGCGCCGCTCTCCGCCGTCGCTGTATTGTTGTCCTGTCGTGCCGCTGCTGCTTCTGCAGCCTGTCTTCTAGAGGATAATTCGCATCGGAAACGCTCGCGTTCCAAACAATTTGGAAAGGTGCCAAAACTATTTTTTCTGTCAGGTACATTAGCCCGCAGCCGAAGGATACCGCACCGAATATTTGCACCGATTTTAACGAACGGCAAGGGGGTTTGTACACGCGAGAGCACGAGGGACTGGCATGATAAAATCATGATTTGTTAAATCTCAGTACTGTGAGCAATGATATTATACATATCCGCTATTCACCTTTGGGTAGGTACGCGTTACTTATCCACCAATATGAAATTATATTTATCCTTGAAGCTAAGTCAAATAGAAAGAAGATGTTCCCAAAACAAAGGCTAAGCGGCTTAAGGCCTCTAAGGCCTCCAAGGCAATTCGTACTATATAGGAGCATTCCAGTCCGCCACACTGATCAAATACATGACTCTATCGCTCTCATGTGGCCAGCACATTTGAGAATCGGGACATTCAGTCAAAATAAACAAACACTCTAGCCTCAATACTCTCCCGCAATTGCTTATTATCATTGATCCGGGGATCTTGAAAAGCCGTATGGGGAACTCCTGCGTTTGAGTGTTAGGATACAAATTCCCTAGACGATAGAGGTAATATACATCATACCTGCTTTGTTCTCTGCTGCTGAATCAGCCTGTACAAAGGCAATTACCTCGTCAACTTGCAAGCCGTGCCAGTAGTACCATTCGTGCTTCTCATCGAAGTATACTCGAGCATTTTCGTTGGCGAAATTATGAGTAACGACATCCATTGCAGTGGTCTGAGATTCATAGTCTACTGTACGGCGATCGCAAAGCGTGAGCGGAAAGTCATATACTGGTCCTTTTATTGGTTTCCATAGACTGGTGAAATGGATAGTAAGTTCATGGACACAGCTTCTGGAAATATGGATAGATATACTTCACAACGACGAATCTTGAATAATCTTTCGGCTTGATGTTGAACTGCTTAATGGCGCATTTTGCCGCCGAGGAGGCCGTCATGTCTTAGACCGGTCAGCGAATGAATTTCCAAAGTTATATGTACGATTGAGAGAATATACCAATGTGTATATAATCACTCGGTTGGTTTGTCTTGAGATGGTGTCGTTCTATATTCTCAGACATCCAACGCGGGTGACGTTTCCGAACCTGGCTCGGTCAATCAGCAGTTTCAAGTCTTCTTTCTTCGGGTCTTTGCTTACTGCGTGCTCCAGGACTTCAACTCGCGCAGCATTTGGAAACAAAAACTGGGCAATTGATTTGTATTTGGGGTATAGGATTTCTTCCACTTTCTCGTTATACCAATACTCCTCAGGAGTCAAAGAACAATTTAGATGCAGCTGAGCAAATCCCCATTTGGAGAACATCTCTCTCGAGGAAATACCCAGATTACGAGCATTACGGATCTGAACAAATTGCTCATCGGCGGTTGTGTTTGTTGAAGGAATATCATAGTCGTAGTCGAGGTACAAGTAATATGGTTTCACCAGCTTGTGCTGGTTATCTCTGGCAAGATACTGGATCATTGCTTTGACGGAGTCATCAGATTCAACAGTGGTCATTGCTGCTGTATTTTTTTCTTCAGGCCCCGACATTTCTTCAACGACAACGTTCTTGTTTAGATATTATCTAGACAGCGAGACACAAACCCACTCATACAAGTGGCTTTGATTCTTTTTCGTTTCCGACCAAATTTAATAACTGTTTTTCGAGGCGGGGGACGGGGTCATACTGGAAATCGAGCGGCACAAGGAAAGCAATTTCCTCTGGGGTAGAGCCAAACTGTAGATCTTCCGTCACCATAGGTAGTAATGGTCGCTCGCGAGACACAGACCTGCAGAGTTGCTTAGGGTTGCTAAGAAGGCATACGCAATCGTTCGAGGTATCTAGGGATCTGAACCCTGATTGCGTCCATCGACGATTCGAAGTTGGCATTTCGTGATATTTGTAATAAGCACTAGCACTCCCGGGGCACAAATGCACAGTACGGCGGTGCCGTGCGCCAAAAGAGACTTGTTCCACGGATGATGATCTTGATAAGATATATCCTCACCTTCCTTCTCCGAGTGATCGACCATCGACACCCATGGAAATTGAATTATTCTTGTTTTCTGACGCCCCCTATGTCATCCATAGGCATGGGCTTTAGACAATCAAACAACGCAGAAGATAATCTTGAGCTCTGTGAAATGATTAGTTGATAGATACGAAGTACAACTGGGGTACAAGAACAGGGGCTACAAATATTTACTCCAAACACCTTGTATGCAAGCCAACTCCTCATATCTTGCAATTGTGTGATGGATAGGAAATATATCAAAGTTACGATAACAGGGCTACAGTTGTTCATCCTGACTATCATGTATGAGGGCCAGCTCTTCGTATTCTATAATTGGTTGAAATCTTCGAAGTGCATCAAAAGTACAAGAACAAGGAATACATTTCTTTGCCCTGGTACCATGCATGCAAGCAAACTCTTCGTATCCTTCATATCTTCATAGAATCGTATGCATGCCGACCTATCAATCAATCAAGTGAGATAAGAGATATGGGTTTATACGCCATTCCTGCGATGACGACAGACTGAGTGTCGTGAACCGAGATATGAACGTCTATATAAACTGCCTCCAACTCTCCCAACCATCTCTATCTCTATCAGCCATCTCCATTATTCACAAATACAACCTAAAAACAAGACAGCTTCTGATACTATCCACTCACACTTCACAACAAACACACATACTTCAAAAATGGTAGGTAGAATCCTCACGTGCGAACCAGCCTCGAGGGGCCGATGAGCTTTTTGACAAGCTTATTTGGTGGCAACGTGCTACTCGATGCTGACGCTAGGGGCAGATGGGAAACGTGGATCACGCGAGTGATCACAAAATCATACAGGAGATACCCCACCAAGCCTTCTTGCACTGCGAGTCTGTACGACCATTTTTACGATTCTTTCAAAGCCACCGATCCCGAGATGTCGCTTAACGATATGGCTTCACGCATCGCTGTAGAGTGCGACGACCATCTTTCAGCAAGCCACATCGGACTGGGAATACTATTGTCATATACCATATACGAGCTATCACGAGCTCCGGACTGGCAACGGAGGCTCCGAAGAGAACTCCTCACTCTAGCTGAACCTAGCGACCAAAGCTTGGCCCATCTCTGGAAAATTGGCAACCTGAGAGATGGCTTACAGCGGACGAGAACATGCTTGCAGAGATGCGGAAGTGGATTTGGACATTTGGAAGCGGTGCGCGGGTATGCATTGGGACTCATTTCTCCATGCGCGGTAAGTCTCATCCGTTACTACTTCGCTGTCCACTTCATCAGAGAACATGCTAATGAAACTAGCCATGAAAGAGCTTCTTGCCACTATCTATACAGATTATGAGACTTATCTAGATGAGGAGTTTACAGAAAATGTGGAACAGGAAGATGTATTCTCGTCGTCGCCTCTTGCGGGCTGTATTAAGCTGAAATTTCGTCGGCCACACAGTCAGAGTTCTATATGTTCCAATACGCCTGTGGCGAGGCAGCTAGCGAGAGAAGAATTCTTGGCATTATCCAGTATCATGAAACTAGCTACCAAAATCATAATGAGAATCATGATTTCAATCGATATAAAGCTAGCTACTAAATCTAGCTGCGGTCGTGTTAGACTCTTCATTTGGATATGGTTGTTTTAGTTCTGTTCTCTTGACATCTTCGACCTCCCAATCTACTGGCCCCTGTCAGTAAGCGATGTCTTAGGCTTAGCCGGGGTTACACCCCACCAATTAACCAGGAATGTTGAAATCTTCAAATCAACTAGCACCACATAAGAACTACTAGCCTTCAATTAAATTCAGTTAAAATCTATCAGCACCAACCGATCCTAGCTTTTAAGCTTAAGGTTGTGCGACGCATTATTGTGCTGGAACACATCATTGAATTGTAAGACTATGCATATGGCGTTGGTTGACGTTGGGATTCTCATGCGGGTGTAGGGCGTAAGATTAGAAAAAGCTTGATTTTATAATTTCCGGGGTATTCCCCACAAAACCATTTACTCTATCGCTTATTCCCGCAACAGCGCCATGCGGATGAAAGAGCACGTATGATCTAGGGGTTAGTAACCCTGCCTAGCACATCCAGCGGTTAAAGGGGTGCAACGGAAACAGGTTTCTGCGTATTTATCTGCCTGTAGCTCGGTACACATGAACCAATCGGACGAACTCCAATACTGAATAAACCCCTGTAAGAGAAAAAAGATACTAGGGAGATTAAAGAAAAGAGGAAGGAGAAAGGAGGGCACTAATCTATCTTACTCTACATATCTAGGTGCATCTTCTTGTAGATATTCTCCTCTTATAGATCAATAAATCAAATTGTAAAGATTCCCTTTGCATCACCATAGTTCTCAGAATTCTGCGCATCTGTGACTCGTACCGAAACCAATGGAACCGAAGTCTGAAATTAGAATACTACCTTCTCGCCTATATACCTAGGTGTTTATCGCAGCTGCAGCTAGTGTTCGCAGAGTAGATCTGATGCAAATACAGAATACCACCTACGTTTCATGCTTGAGTACGCTGGAGATCGGAGTCTGACCATCTACTTTCGGATCGGTCTGGTAAGCTCAGGTGAATTTTTACACCGTGATACAGTATATGATCATAAAATACGCATTGGCGATCACAGTAGATGACTTCGTACATGTAGACACCCTGCTTGAATAATGACAACGCAGAATTCGCAATTTTCGGTGCTGTCGCTGTCGTATCATGCTTTATTTCAGATCCCCGGACGATATTTTTGATAAGGAGGTAGTAGTAGATAGATAGGAAATATCAAGGATATATGACTGGTTCATTGCAGGTGTAGAAGACGTGTTTTGAGTCGACGGAGAACGAGAACCCCTATCTCTTTGATTGAGGGTTTTAATTCTACATTGAGTAAACATCATTGTTATTGAGTTCCACTCTTCCTCCTTTGTTGATTGATGTCATTAATATTCAAGAGTGTTCGGATTTGTGATTGTATTGATGGGGTAATACCTAGCTAGTATCGATCGCAAGCTGTTAAGACACTGTATCTGACCTAAGCACGAAGCTTTTATCTATTCAGAAAAAGAAGCTGGTGATATAGAATCTTCAACGGGGCTGCGTTCCCCCTTATATTGTTTACAAAACCCATACCTACTGTCCCCACTAATTACCAGCTTGTTATCCAAACTAGCGACACCCTTTTAACTGTGAAATCCCTTAAGGGTCTCACTGTCCTACATAGTCATAGACTGATACAGGACGCAAATGGAATAATAATAATAGAATCTCATTCCTACCAAATGATAAATCCCATGAATAAGTTACCTATTCTATGATTTTATGTGCGCGTCTTACGACTTATCAAACCCCAGGTCGTGAGTCTTACTACCTTCGTACCACTTTTACTGTAGATGACAGTCAATCTACCGTCCCGACGATCCAAGTCGTTCTCTGCTACGAAACCAGTCTCCGTATCTCATCAGCAAGCCCAACGGTGGAATAAACAAGGCTGAAATCAATGCTAGAACACTGTTACCCCAACCATACCCAATGCCTTGATACAGAGGAGGGCCAATCAGCGGGAGAAAAGCCCCAGCAAATGCGCGAAAGATCACACCGGCACCTATAGCAGATGCTGCATGAATCTTGTAAACATCCACCACATACGTTTCGATTGGTATAGTGGAAAGCGTCATGCTGAACCCCGCCACTGTGGTTCCGATGAGTGGCACAATGTACTGAACGTGAAACTTCAATGACCAGCCGTAGATGAGAAAGCCCATAGGAAGAATGATCGCGGCAAGGAGTAGATGTATTAGGCGCGACTCCGGCTCGAATGCTTCGCCCTTCTTTTTTCGCAGATGGATCATGTAGCGGTCGGAAGTGAGACTGTAGAAGATTAAAGCGATGGTATTGCCGATGGCGAGACTCAAAAACGTGAGGCCAATGGACCCGCGAGAAAAGACGTTTGGGTACGTTGATTCCATGGTTTCGGTGATTGTGGCAAGAATCAATGATACTAAGGCGTATTTAATTGTCATGTAACTCGTCGTCAGCATGAGGATGGGAGATTGGATCAGGATGTGCAACGGCTTCATAACGCTTTCGATAATGGTGGTTGCATCAACACGCGCCTGATGTTTGGAACGATACTGTTTGCCATCCGTGCTCTCCTTTTGTAACCGCTTTGCCTTCCGCTTCAGAATGACGACTGCGTATGTCTCCCGGTACACGACCAGTAAGAGAAAGCTAAAGAATCCGAGCACGATGGCCGCTAGCCAAATCGACCATCGCCAACCCAGATCCTGTGCGATATACGATCCTGCGACAGGTGAGATGAAATCTGCTATCATCTGGGTTCCCATGACCAATGCCATGGTCACACCGGTGTGTTCCATGTGGAACAAGTCCCCGACAATCGCGGGCCCAAGGGTGAGAATTGGCAGGCAGCAGCCCGTTAAGAATCGGAACGCAATCACCATGGGAATGTTCACACTCAGGGCGGTGGCGACCAAGCAACATAGTGCGAGGAAATTTCCAACGTGGAAGACGGGAAGCCGGCCGAATCTTTCAGAGAGCGGTGCAATAAAAAAGGGACCAATTCCTTCCCCAAGCTCCCAAATCGTGACAAGCAATGTCTGGTCAAGCGAACTGTGTGAATGAAACTCCTCCAAGATCTGTGGTGCTGTGGGCGTGATAGTCATTGTTGAAAAGACACTAATTCGGTCAGTCAACGGCGACAGATGTAAAAATCCTAAGGGGGAGAAACACTCACCTGACGAAACCCATCCACGAGACAGCGGACACAATTAGCCATTTTCGCGTTGACGACCAATTCAATGGGTTTTCTGGGTCGTTCTCCTCATAGTCCACGAGGACTACATCTGAATTGCTGTCTGTGATGGGAACTTCCAATTGCTGTTCTGCGAACTTTTCATTCTCGCTTCCCGAAGCAGCATTAGGCCCATTGTTTGGTGATTTTTGCGGTTCGACTGAAGCTAGCATGGGGACTGGAATCACATTGATAGAAGCCATTAGTGTCGAGCAATTTAGGAGTGTACGCAAATTGTGTCTATTCAACTGCTGAGAGAGCAGGCAGGAAAAGAGACATTAAAGCGGGGGGCTTAGGGCTTTAGAAGTACATTCCAAAAGTCTGGGTGACTGCGCTAAACAGGGGTCTGTTATCTAGACATGCAGCAATAGGCGACTGTCGATCTATTGCGAAAGAAATTCTCGACCGCCTGGGCAAGGATTCTTATCAGTCAGCGAACGGAAGCGTCTACCCGTTCTCCATCGGGTTTAGACCGGAAATGACAAGACCAGGTGCCATGTGTACCGGTTCTCGTAAACTTTCCCTGGTCCGATTGTAAAGTCGGAAGTTTTGAAGGGATTCAGGGAATGACTCCTGTGTCGGCTTGTCATCGGTTCGTCATCGGTTCGTGGGCTGAAGTGAGAACCCCCAAACTGAGCTAAGTCATGCCATTGCTGAACTTAATTTTATAACTGTGTTGCCTCTACTCAAAATTCAATCTGTCCCTGTACGAACCTCAGTTCTCGTCTCGTCTCTCTGTGAACTTCATTGACGAAGCCGCTCAAATTTTGTGGGTCAGTGAAACCCTCAAACTTATCATCGCTCTCGTCGTTAGGGTTCTGTCCCTTCGCTAGCAGAAAGCACACTCTAGCAATTACAGCTTTCAATCCTAACGCATTTGGCTCGCTATTACTCTTGGTTATAAGAGAGGTATAAAGGAGAATATACGCTATAAATACGTAGTAGACCATGGGAGAAGCACTTCATTCTGGCTCCGTTGAGCACTTATCGGACAAAATGGAGAAACCGCTGCTGGACGATCGATTGTACCGGGTGATCCATTTGCCCAATCACCTGGAGATTCTTTTGATCCACGATCCAGACACCGACAAAGCTGCTGCTGCCATGGATGTCAACTTTGGTAGCTTCAGTGACCCGCATGATCTGCCAGGGACCGCACATGCGGTAGAACATTTCTGTTTCATGGGTACGAAAAAGGTGAGCTACCGAAATACAGACATATTGAATACCCAACAGCGTACTGAGGAACAAATACTGACATCATTCGCCTAGTATCCGGGAGAGAACGAATATAGCACGTATCTGACCAAGTATGGTGGTAACTCTAACGCCTACACGGCCTCGACATCAACCAATTACTATTTCGAATTATCCGCGAGCTCAACGTCTAATTTTTCGGGCTCGTCCGCAACTGTAAAGCAATCCAATGTTCCAATCGCCAAAGACAAAGCTCCTCTGTATGGCGCTCTTGATCGTTTTTCGCAATTCTTCATCCAGCCACTCTTTCTCGCGGATACCCTCGACCGCGAGCTTCGCGCTGTAGATTCAGAGTATAAGAAAAATCTTCAAAGCGACGCGTGGCGGCTTATGCAACTGAGTCGTAGCACTTCGAGTGATAAACATCCCATGAACAATTTCGCAGCTGGCAATTATCAGTGCTTGCGTGAGATTCCAGTGTCGCGGGGCGTCAATGTTCGGAAGCGCTTCATTGAGTTTTACAAGGCGTACTATTCGGCCAACCGCATGAAGCTCGTAGTTCTGGGTAGAGAGCCACTGCAGGAATTAGAGAGCTGGGTTCAAGAGCTCTTCTCAAACGTACCGAACAAGAACCTGCACCGTTTGAGGTGGGGTGGTATACCAGTCCTAGATGAGCCGGAGCTCATGACTCAAATTTTTGTAAAGCCAGTGATGGAGCTGAGACTTTTAAACATTAATTTCACGTACCCCGACGAAGAAGACCTCTTTGCCTCCCATCCCAGTCGATATCTGGAACACCTGATTGGGCATGAGAGCCCTGGCAGTGCCATTGCTTATCTAAAGGAGCTAGGTCTTGTGGACTATTTGTCCGCCGAGGCTTCTGCTCAATGTCCCGGAACAGCACTTTTTTATATTGAAATACGACTCACTGAAAAGGGAATGCAAAAATACCGGAGGTCATAAAAATCATTTTCCAATATATTGCTATGCTGACAGAGAGCCCACCACTTACCTGGATCTCAGACGAAATGAACCGCTTGGCAGAGGTGGAGTTCAAATTCAGGCAGAAACTCCCTCCATCCCGAACTGTGAGCGGTCTAGCCCAGCTCATGCAGAAAGCTTGTATACCACGCGAGCATTTACTGAGCCCTTCCCTCATTCGCAAGTTTGATCCAGAAAATATCGAGCGCGGCCTATCCCATCTGCGTCCTGATAACTTTCGATTCTTTGTTGTGGATCAGCAGTTTCCGGGAGATTGGAACGCAACTGAAAAATGGTACGAGACTGAATACAAGCTCGAAAAAATTCCCGAGGGTTTCAAGCAAGAACTCTGGGCCGCAGTTCGGGCGCCGGTCACAGAGAGGCCCTCTAAAGTTCACTTGCCAGCTGTGAACGAATTTGTTCCGCAACGATTAGAGGTTGAGCGGAAGGATGTCACAGATCCAGCTCGGCATCCTACGCTGATTCGCCATGACGATAGTGTTCGTGTGTGGTTCAAAAAGGACGATCAATTCTGGGCACCAAAAGCCAATATCGAACTCTTTCTTCGGTCGCCCGTGGCCTCGGTTACTCCAATGAATACCATCATGACCCGTTTATATGTTGATTTGGTCGAAGACAGCCTCAAGGAATACAGTTAAAATGCAGAAATAACTGGTTTGAACTATAGTATATCTGAAAGTGCACAGGGATTAAACATAGAAATAGACGGTTTCAACGACAAGATGTCGGTGCTTTTGGAGTAAGTATTATTGGGAGTACGAGATTTGAATATCAAGCAAGAGCGCTTCAACGTCGTAAAGGAGAAAGTGAGGAAAGCGTATAAGAATTTTGACTACAGGGAACCGTACCGACAAATCAATGCCTTCTCGCGCATGTTGATCAGCGAAAGATCTTGGGCTCCCTTTGAAATGCTCGAGGAGCTTCCGGCAGTGACAGCTGAGGATCTGCGCTCATACTCTCCCGAACTGCTGCGACAGATGTATATTGAGATTCTCGTCCACGGCAACTTGCATAGAGAAGACGCGCTAAGCATTGCAAAACTTGTGGAATCAACACTCCGCCCACATCGATTACCAGAAGCTCAGTGGCCGCCACGCCGCGCGATTGCGCTGCCAAGCGGTGTAAACTACCTATATGAGCGAGTACTAAAGAACCCGGATAACGTCAATCATTGTCTCGAGTATATCATCTCGGTCGGCTCTATCTCGGATCGTGTGCAACGAGCCAAGTTGCTACTTTTTGCCCAGATTGCCAATGAGCCGTGCTTTAACACACTTCGTACAAAAGAGCAGCTCGGTTATATCGTCAACTCGGATGCAAGCGTCTATGCAACTGTCGGTACATGGTGCATCATCGTACAGAGCGAGAGGAATTGCAAGTATCTCGAAGAGCGTTGTGATGCATTTTTGGTGAAGCTTGAGCAGGATTTACGCGCAATGACCGACGAGACGTTTGAGGAACATAAGATCGGTCTGATTAACAAACGCTTGGAGAAATTGAAGAATTTGGGTCAAGAAGCGTTGCGCTTCTGGAATCATATTACAAGTGAGGTGTTTGACTTTGAGCAAGGTACGTTTGCTACTTTTCAAACCCTTCCAATCCATACAATTTGCACACGTTCTTTGCGTTCCTGTACATATACTAACTCGATCGACCACATCCTAATAGTCTATCGTGACGTCGAAAACATTGAAGCACTTACAAAGAACGACATATTCGAATTTTTCAACCAGTACATCCATCCCTCCTCTCCAACTGGCGCGAAACTGTCTATACATCTTATTGCACAGGCATCTACTAGGGTTCTGCAGCAGCAGAAGACAGAGCCGCCGCTGAAAATAACACTAACGCTTCAACGTTCAATGCAGAGCAAGAAATTATGGCAGTCAATGAACATGAGGCTTCAGTGTCCAGCGTGAAAATTCCCGTTAAGATTGAAGATTTCAAAGCATGGAAGGCAAGTCTATGCCTTTCAGCGGCTGCAACTCCGGTAAAGAGCCTAAGTGAATTCGATGACTTTGGATCGACGTTATGATGTCCCTGTTCAAATCCTTCATTTGGCCCGGTATTAGAGCCATCAGTCCATTGCTGCATCAACATCGCTATCTTATGGTAGAGAGCTGTCTTCGAAGGTTGAGCGCTACCTTTGATTACCTTCCATTGAGGATTACAGGGAAGCTCTTGAAAAGACAAAGTGGAAATTCGGTTTGAGAGTTCGTCGTTCGTACAAGTACAGCAAAATACTCTTGCTTATGGTGCGTCGCAGACCATTTGGGTCAAGTTTCAGACATCATAGCGCGTAACCACATGCCGTCAATTCAAGACCGAATATTGAACGCTACAGGCGCAATAACATAGAATCAGCAAGAACTTTCAAACCAAATCGCCTGTGTCTCTGTTCTGTCTGGTCCTAAGGCATGTTGCCGCTTCGCCACCTAAGCCCGAGAGTCGCGGCAAAGTCCTGTTTCCGACCTTGCGGCTGCGGAACAATCTTGCAATCAGCCTGTCGATACTCTCCGACGTCCGGAACGCTGTCACTACATCGTCTCTCTCTTCAATCCTACGCGTACGATCAGCACTTAATAAAAAGCCTGGCGTCGTGATGGCCACCTTGTCCAGACACTCGCGGATGCACGTGATGTAAAGCCATCCGTGGCCGTCGTAGTCAGCTTCAGCTTCTCGACGAGCGTGCACTTCTTGCGCGATGACACGTTGTATAGCTCGCGCATCTTTAATGGGAAGGCCAATTCTACTCTACCATTGCGAGTTCCAGTGTTTGAAAAGTGCCAGTAACCAAGCAGATCCCAAGCAGGGTAAACTTCTTATTTTCCATCACCCACATCTCTGACTACTTTCTCCGCACTGTAAAATTGGATGCTATGGGCTAAGCGAGCCCCCCTATTATAGATCAATCGTCTGCATGTAATGTACCGAAGGCTGCTCATGCTAGGTTTTGGCTTTCCGACTTTCCGTGTATGCAGCGCTTCAAGCAATGCTTGGGGCCGTTTCACGAATTACGACATCGGCACCATTTCGCTAGGCCTGCGAACACTCATGGCCTCGCGTCAATTCAACTTATTACGACGTTTGCGAGCACGAGACTGCTCGGAGCAGATTTTAACATGCTTGCCGCGATCCGAGACGATCTCCAATTCAACAATGTCTGGTAGAAATGATGTGAATCTATAAATTGGGTCAAGGTTAGGAAATAGAAACCTTTGAAAATTTATGATGACTTGCTGTAGATAAAAAAATAAACAATCCTTAGTATTTACTACCTAGGTATGCAGAAGAACGGTAAAAGTTAACCAACATTGAGCCGCAGGTAATCATTCCATTTAAACCGAATGAAGATCTACCAAACTGCCAACCTCTGTATATGTACAGTGACGTTCCATACACATTCTAATGTGAAGGGGCTTTTCGGGCGCCACATGCTAGGCTCTTCAGAATAACTTCAAATTCACCCTTAACATTTGTTAACACATACCTATTTCTTTCCACTTACCTTTCCCAACTCCTGATGATGTGAGACACTATAAATACCAGGTTGGTCCCGTCAGCACTTATCCCATCCCATCCCATCCCTGAAAAGGGGGCGTTCTTTGATGTATGCACTGTGCGGTGACAAGCAAGTCTCCGGTGAATATTTAGAAACTCTCTCTCAACATCTTGACAGCTTGCTCGAGGTGCAAGTGTAGTCAGTGGTACATTGGTGACTGCATTTATATCGTCGTGAATGTCTATTGCGGCTGTGTGAATTAGATTCAAGATCTCATCGGTTGGAGGGGGAGATATCCGTGCAGCCTCTAATATGGTTGCCATCTTGCGGCTTAGTGGAACAATGTACGTCCCACCCCACGTTATTAGGTGGAGTTTTGCATACTTTCTGGCCGCACGAGTATATACTGCAATACGACTTATAGGAAATGACAGGACGGAGTCGAAAATACAATGAGCTAGATGGAAGCAAGAAAATGTCCCTTGTTTCGAAGGCAACCTCTTTTTAAGGGTGTACGTCTGGAGGGCTAGAAAATGTATTGACTGTAGTACATGTGAACAATATTCTTACTTGGGGCTATAGCTTCGGGACCTTGTATGTGAGCTTGATAGTCTCGATCAAGATTGTTGCTAATTACATTTTACCCGCTTAGACGCACTGCTATCAGTCTCCAATCTTTTTCGAGAAACAGGCTTTCTACTCGGCTTGCTAAACTCCGCTAATACATAAGCAATAAAAACACTTTTCTGTTTAAAATAAACGCCTTTATTGTATAAAATGTCTAAAGCAACAGTACGAGCAGCTTGGCCCAGTTTTATAAACTGCTCCAATAATGACGAGCTTATTTCAGTATTATTACACATGTTATTAGTCCATTGAATCTGTTCTACTATATCTCGAATAAGCCATGAATTTCTCTTTCCCCATAGTCCAAGAGTATTATCAGAATCAGAGTCATATGGATCGTAGAAAAACAATGCAGAACACCAAAGTAAAGTAACATCAAATACACTAGTATTTGATATACGAATACAATTACCAAGAATTGATAACTTGGTAGTTAAACGTGTATGATGGTGAATATTGAAGTTTATCGGTAGTGTTGTTTCTATCCAGTTCTCCAACTTCGATTTAAGTCTCTGTGACGTTTCTAAATCATAATCGAATTGCTGATTTGGTTCTCGAGAATTCAAGTTGGCAAACTGCTCCTTGGCAAGCTCTTCCTCATCCGAATCCACATTGAAGTCTACTCTGATATTCTTTTCGAAATCGTCCAAGTTCACTTCGCTATCTGATGACTCTTCGCAGCTAGAAAAAATGCCATGTGCCGATATAGAGTTGGAACTAGTTGAGAATCGAGGCGGTGTTTCTTCAATCGTTTCTTTGAGAATGACGAGTGATGACTGAGAAACCTGCGCTTCTGAAGATAGCTGAGCGTATAGTGGCGGTGATCGAGGAACTTGTACTTCTGGATATGGCTGAGCATATGGTGGCGGTGACCGGGGACTTTGTACTTCCGGAGAAGGCTGACCATATGGCGGTGGTATTGGGCGTTGTTGCTTCTTATAAACGAATTTATCCCATTCTAGTAACATAGCCCCTTGTTGAATATACATTTCCTTCAAATTACTTTTGTAGGTATTGGTTGCAGTCTCACTAATATGCATACGGAGTTTTTCCAAGTGTACTTTTGCATAAGTACTTGGCCTGATGTATACACTGAAATTTGTGGTATTAGATAGAGACTCAAGGCCACGAATCAACATGTTTGTAGTCGTGGTATGAGGTCTGATTGTAGTTGTTTTCTTCTTTGTAACGACGAACCCCTTCGAGGTGAGATTGAATTGTAGAAGGAAAACATGCTGTGCATTGCTTAAACCAGCTTCGTGAATAGCAGAAACGTCGTGAGATAAATCAATACTCGATATTGGGTAAGGTGTAGAGGCATTCGCAAAATCGGCATCTGGAGGAACAACTAATAATAAATCTGTCTGTTGCTTCTTACCAGCAAGCTTAATAAACACCTGGAGTTTAAAGTGAATATGAATCCGTCCTTCTATACCACGATATACAGTCATAAAAAAACCAGGTGTCTGCTTGTTGTCATGCAAGCAAGAACCTAGTGTCAATGTTGTGCCTGATTCATTAACCCATTTCACGAATACCCTCTCATCAAGAAGTTTTTCTAGCTGAAGTTTTTCGATTGGAACCGATATCGACATATTGAGTCCTATGATTGCAATTAGCAACAAAACGTAGTTAAAGAATACTTGCATTTAATAAAAAAATGCTAGCCCACACTCTGTGTGCTTCCCACCCACCCAGGCTATAGAGCAGCCTTGACTCTTCGAATAAAATGAGATGTAGAAGTGATCAAGAAAAGCTACTATATGAATTGTGTTGAAGTTGTTCTAAACAGAAGGTGCTGTAAGAACATAACCGCCGCCAGGGTTGTTCTAAACAGCAGATGCTATAAGGACGTAACCGCCGCCAGGGTTGTTCTAAACAGCAGATGCTGTAAGGACGTAACCGCCGCCAGGGTTGTTCTAAATAGTAGGTGCTGGAAGGACGTAACCGCCACCAGGGTTGTTCTAACAGCAGAGGCTGTAAGACTCTTGTACACAGCACAATACAGGAGCAATTTGACTGGAAATATTGTGCTTGTATAGTTTTGATAGATGTTATACGATAGAGGTAAAGCGATGTGAGGGTAATGATAGGAAGATGGTGGTCGTATATTCGTGATGAATATTGTGCGATGGAGGGTAAAGCGATGAGGGTAATGATAGGACGATTGTGGTCGTATATTCGGAATGAATATTGTGCGATGGAGATAAAGCGATAGAAGGATAGGGACAGAAAGATAGTACTATTGTGCGGCGATACAAATGAAGAGATAGAGGAAAATGGAGATGATGATGGAAATGGAGGGAGTCAACACACTGGATGCTACTGAAACCCAGATTCGGATCGGAAATACTATTTCCCCGGCCACTAACAGGTGAATAAACGACGTCAAATTTCTACAGTGATTGGCTATTCCTCTTGATGCCTGAAACTTTTTGGGCTTGAGGCTTTGTCGATCTTTACAGAGGCATTATGTATCACAAAAGAGGGTTTGGTCATTGTTCTCGTTCCGGGTGTGGTTTCCTTTACAACTAGGCCTAGGTGCTCTGTACTATATTATGTGAATGAAATACGATCTATACTACTTGATTCTAACCAAAGATACAAGATACAACAATTACATGACTCCCTATATACAGTGGACGTTCATAGTCAACGCCCTTATTCCTTGGAGGATTTAACATTGCGGAGCGCGGTGGCTAAATATCCTAATGTTTAGCATCCAAATACATACAACAAACGATTTTTACATAGAAAGCATGAGATCATGAAGACTATATCTGGGCATTCCACATCATACTTCGTAGAATTAGTATCTGCCAAAAGTGGTTCCACTAACTCCACCATTAATGATCCCAGCTTGGAAGCCCGAGCTGTGAGAACCAAATGTCACTGTAGTTAAACCGTTTTGGTACCCCGCAGCTTTTGCGACAGCTTCTTCCTGCGACTTGGACAACAGCTGATACAACAGCTTCTGCGATGCTTTCATCCCTGAAAGTTCTTCTTCAAACTGTCGTACTGCTTCGATTTTGCCCTCCCTGAACTCAACTGTTTCATCATCATCATCATCATCATCGTCACTACTGAGGTTCAGCTCTTCCAACCTATTCTCTAACACTACCAGCTGTCGATCCGCAGTAGATATAACATCCTTGACCTCAATCTGCTTTGCAGATATCATTTTCTTGATTTCTTCTGTGATATGGCTATGGCGGACAGAGCTGTATCTATTAAAGCGGGATTAGCATATCTTCCTGAATAGAAACGATTAAATTATTATTACTCACAGCGTCGCTATACTAACAATAGAATTAATAGCAAGCCTACAGTTTGAAAGCTGCTCTGACATAGCTTTGATTTGCCCTTGCTTGAAGAATCCGACTTTTACTTGATCCTGCCATGATAATTTTCCACCTTCTGAGTGTTTGGTCCATCGCTGAAGATCAGCCCTGAAAAGATCGCATGCTTGCGTGCAACTATTAATCGTTGTTTCTGACTGCTCAGCTATACCTTTGCCAAGTAAACTCCATTCTCTCTCGTCTATACTTTGAAGTGATTTGAGTGCTGCATCGACAGAATGCACATTGTCTACTAGACGATTAACAGTTTTAGGTGCATCTTTGAGCTGTTGTAGATCTTCTAGTAGTAATCGTGTGCCGTGTAAAGCTGGCACAACAATACCTACGATACTAGCGGTGATACTGAGAGGATCAGCCATTTGTGATCGTTCATGATAGAAAGTTGGTGTAAAACAAGAATTGGAACTGTGAGTTGAGGCCTGTCAAAATCGGTCAATCTCATTGGAACGTTATCGAAAGTTGCTGCGGCTGAAGGATGACGAACTGTACCAACAAACCCCGTTGCTGTAGGTACTGTATCGCGAAGCAAAATTGTTCATTACAACAATGGCATCCGCGATATCTTTTGGCGCCAACAACTCTGGCCTTCAAGCCGGAACAATCAATGGTGCAGTCAACACGAACTTTCATCACCATGCTCCTCCTGGTGAGTTACGAAAGATCCAAGCTAGCCAGCGCTGACAACAGCCCCACTCTAGAACGACTAGAAACTCCACCAAACCCATCGATTGTCATACCCTTCAGTCGCGATAAAGACTTTGTCGGGCGAGGGACAATACTCGACCTGATCGATGAAAAATTCACAGGCTCGGGTTCTAGAACCGCGCTTGTCGGTCTTGGCGGTGCTGGGTATGTAAATTCCTCTCCTTTATTACAGATAACTAACTGTTGCAAAGCAAGTCTCAACTTGCTATTGAATACGCGTACCGAACCCGAGATCTATCGCAGGAGACATGGGTTTTCTGGGTCCATGCAAGCAATGCCGCTCGATTTGAGCAGAGCTTTCGAGATATTGCAAACTGTGTGAAGATTCCTGGCCGGCAAAATTCACAGTCCAAAATCTTTCAGCTTGTACATGACTGGCTGCGCGATGATCAACAAGGAAAGTGGATTCTTATACTTGATAACGTGGATGATGCTAGCTTTCTTGTCCAAGCTCAAAGTGTAGGTCGAGATGGACAAAGAAACGAAAACATTGAGAACTCACGACCGCTTATCACATATCTTCCACAGTGCCAAAATGGATCTGTTCTTGTCACATCACGAAGCAGAAGTGCTGCGCTAAAGCTAGTTGAACAGCGTGACATTATTGCAGTCGAACCTATGGGGATGATAGATGCGCTAGCACTTTTTGGGAAGAAGCTAGGACAGTGTGACGATGGCAACAATACTGCTGAGCTTGTTGAGGCACTAGAGTTCATGCCGCTCGCTATTGTCCAGGCAGCTTCATATATATTGCAAAGAATACCACGTTATTCTTTACAAGATTATCTTGAGGACTTCCGAAAAAATGATCGCAAAAGAACTAATCTTCTTCATCATAATGGCGAGCAGCTCCGTCGAGATTGGGAAGCAAATAATTCTATTCTTGTTACATGGCAAATATCTTTTGATTATATACGTAAAACAAGATCATCTGCTGCTGACTTGTTGTCACTTATGAGCTTTTTCGACCGGCAAGGAATCCCCGAGGCTTTACTACGAAGTCGAAACACGGATAGATCCCTGGAACAAAACCCGGAAAGCGATGATGATGATGATGATGAAAACAATCATAGTAGTGTCAGTACTGCAGACAGCGATGACGACAAAGATAATAGTTTGGGGTCTAGTATAAATGATGGATTCGAGGACGATATTTTAGTTTTACGAGATCATTCGTTTATCTATGTTAATGCAGATCGCACAACATTCGAAATGCACAGATTAGTACAACTAGCTACACGCAAATGGCTTGAAGATCAGAAACAACAAGAGAAATGGAAACGGCAGTTTATCAAAAATCTTGACGCAGAGCTTCCAACAGGAGAATACGAGAATTGGGTACAGTGTCAGATGCTTTTTCCACATGCACAGTCGGCAATAGTACACAAGCCTGAGGATCAAAACTCATTAGTGGAATGGGCCTCAATACTTTACAAGGCATCATGGTACGCTTGGGAAATGGGAAATGGTAAGGATGCGGAAAGTCTGTCGGTCAGGGCAATGAAAGTTAGAAAGAAAATTCTAGGACCAGAGCATGAAGATACGCTAGCAAGTATGGCAATGGTAAGCTATATCTATAAACTCAGGGGCCGGTGGAATGCGGCTAGAGAGCTATTTATGGAAGTGATCGAGACAAGTAAGGAGAAACTCGGAATGAATCATTCTTTCACACTCATCAGTTTAGCCCATCTAGCGTCGGCATATAGGAATCAAGGGCAATGGGATAAAGCCGAAGAAATATTTGCGGAAGTGATGAAGATAAACAAAAAGAAACTCGGATTAGATCATCCAGATACGCTTACTAGTATGGCCAATCTAGCATCAACTTACAGAAATCAAGAGCGGTGGGATGCAGCTGAGGAGCTATTTGTAGAAGTGATGGAAACGAGCAAAAGGAAACTTGGGGCAGATCATCCAGATACGCTTACTAGTATAGCCAATTTAGCATCAACTTACAGAAATCAAGAGCGGTGGGATGCAGCTGAGGAGCTATTTGTAGAAGTGATGAAAACGAGCAAAAGGAAACTCGGGGCAGATCATCCAGATACGCTTACTAGCATGGCCAATCTAGCATCAACTTATAGAAATCAAAAGCGGTGGGATGCAGCTGAGGAGCTATTTGTGGAAGTGATGGAAATAAGCGAAAGGAAATTCGGAATGAGCCACCCAAACACACTCATCAACATAACCAATTTGGCATCGTTATACAGGAACAAAGGGCAATGGAATACTGCTGAAGAGTTAGAGGTACAAGTGATGGAGACTCGCAAGAAGAAATTCGGAGTGGACCATCCAGACACGCTCGCTAGTATGGCTAACCTTGCCTACACATGGAAGGGACAAGATAGGCATAAAGAAGCTTTGAAGCTCATGGAGGAATGTGTAGTATTACAAAGTAGGGATCTAGGTATTAATCACCCGGACACTTTGTTTTCTCGTACAAATTTACTTGCATGGCGGACAACCGAGCCAGGAATTGATGCTTGGGCTAATGAAGAACTGAATGCACAATGATGTATCTAGCAGAATTAATGGAAAAGCGCATCTCTCAGGTTTGAGGCCTATTTTAATACAAGCTCTCTTTTAATGTACATAAGTCAGCGTCCTTATTAAACCTTCTACGCTCTCCAACTTGGAGTCCTGAGTACAATGCGATTCGACCTTGATCAATTGTGCTTCTTGAGAGGTTTCTTATTTAAAGATTTTTTTAGGCTTATTGCTATTCTTATTTGATTGTTACAAAATCATTAGTACCTAAGTTCTGTTTAGTTCCATTGCAATATAGTTCTGCTTTCTATGCTACTTAATATACTGCGGCTCCGGAGGTGATGATTGTTTTAATAATGACTTCTTACTTCAAATATGTTCCTGAAATTGATACTCTACATTAATAAAAAGTTTACCAAATAGGAATAAATACTTGATGGGATATCAACTGTATCCCATTATCAGTAATGCGAAGCGAGTTTTGAATAATGTGAAAGAACAGTAACATATCAATTTCATTACTCAGACCTAGGATTCAGAGCTTAGAAAGAAGAGGAGAGAGTAAAACCCAATCAAAAAGTAGAAGTTGAGTAAAATTTCCTGTCGCACTGCGTTGATTGCTAGTGACGTTATATGGCTTGTTCATCGTCTAAATGATTGAACTAGTCACATGCATCCGGTCTAGGTCGGCGAAGACAAATATCTCATCCGCACGTGGTGCTGGCTATGAAATGACGGTGCCTTTCGAATTCATCTGAGCTGGAAGAGTTGGGTTAGGTTGAGAACTGATTCCATTTTCTGGACTGGGCTGGGCTGGGCTGGTTGGGGAAACCCCATTTTCAAAAGCATCCAAGATCAAATGCCCAACGATTTCATTATCGAGTCACTCCGAAACGTGGACACTCTAAATGTGATGAGGTGACCATAAAATTGTCCTGAACAGGAGCAGTTATCTCTTCCATACTGCCATCTATCCTTTAGCTAGGTCCATACCCTTTCCCAGAATCATAAACACGTTTTGAATTCTAGCATCTGTCCATGTCTCAAGCTTGGAATTTTCGGTGCTATGCTCAGAGAGGAAGAACCACCACGAGTCACATTTCTCTTTCCAGAATCCTAATCTAGATGCGTAGAGACGCGCATCTCTCTAACCCAAAGTCTTGTGATCTTCCTGACATCTTTCATCTTATCCATCTTGTAATAAATATCCAAACCTAAATCAAATACTAGGCTGAAAGACTTTTTGGATGAGCGAGCAGCCAAGCTGTTCTTACCTGGTAGCCTGTAGCACTCAGTAAAAGTTTCTCTCCTCCAATTCAGTCATTATTTTCTTTCGGATACTTACAAGGGTAATATCTTATCATTATGAGTTTTATTCTAAGACTCATCTCTGGAGCTAATTGAGCATAACTTTGTCCAGATTCGATGACGATTGAGAAATCGGTTTGTTTACGGGGCCAATGCTTTCCAAAAAATACATCGGATTCCCCAGCAGATTTGAGTACAATCAAGTTCGTGTTGCTGAGCCATTGACTGCTTTGATTAGGTACCGAGTTCATTGGAGTAGTGGACTCTTAACTAGCTTGTAAAGGGGACCCGATGCCCCCCCCCCTTCTCGGGGGTTGAGAAGACTTCTAATATCCATTTCTTTAGTCAAGCTGAACTCCCGAAATAATGGCTTTGGACTTGACCTAGTGGGTGTACGTGTTACCAGTGTGGAATCTGGGTGGCCGGAAACTGCCTAGTGATAAGTATCGCGTTGAAGTGGTTGGATTCTCCTAACGATGGGTGTAATTCCAAATAATAGTGTGAAATTATATATTTTGCAATCGAAAATGAAATTTAAATGGTGGTTGAGGAGTACAGAGAATGGGAGATATTTCAAGAGATTTGTGAACGAGGAGGATACTTGACTACCATGGCTGAAATGGAAAGAGGAAGGCTCATCGCTCTGAGCGTGATCATGCCTTCCTACTGGATTATCCAGGTGGGTAGTTGCCAACATCAATGTTAGGAAACCTTAATATGATCAGATCCATCTAATTTAAATAATTCAATTATCTTGTACAAGCTTCCCTAATCAACATCCTTTCACAGTTGAGGAGTCCCCTTAGGCAGCTATTCAACTTCATCTACATATGTAGCCGAGAACCTGCGATCTTATTTCGCTAAACCAATTCTGATACTTATCTCATATATTCACTATTCCATCACATCACATCACATCCCATCCCATCTCCTACTCTTCCCCTCTCTCATAATTCACACCTTGAAACCACCACAGGGTACAAAGATAGAGAGAATTGAACTAACACTTTCTTTCAACTGAATGATGAAACTGAAGTTCCTTTCTGTACAAAGTTTCACTTTAGCGACTTCACTCTAAGTGCACTTCACTTTAAATCAACTTCACTTCAAATTCACTTCAAACTCGCTTCCTCTTATACTCCCTAGTCTCCCAATCAAATGGCTTCTTTCAGATATCAAAACTTTTGTTGCATATCTACAAAATATAGATCTCACGATACCTCTTGAAAATGGCCTCTCACACCAAAATGAAAAGCTTCATATTTTGGATTCGAATTTGAACTTGATGAGGAGAACAAGAATTGAAATCTCTGTCCCTCTTCTTCCTTTCGTTAAGCATGTAGAAGGAATTATTTTGGAATTATCTCGAACTTCACTTCGGTAAGTTCGCTTCACTAAATCTCGCTTTATTCACTAGCAATATCATTCCTTCTATCAACAGCTCATTATCCTCCAGCCAGCTGTGTTGCACATCTACAAATGCAGGATCACTATAGAAATCCTTCCAGTACTCTCTTATAAGGAAGTAAATGTTTCCTTATCAATAGATAGGTGAACCCTCACAGGTATAAGGAGATAAACGAAAAGAAACCCCTCCGAATCGACCTAGCAATTCTCACACTTACTACACACAGTTCAATCATCACTCAATACAAAAGAGCGCCGTCGAGTCGAGGAAACCTCCGAATGAACAATCCCACATGTTTCTCCCAGATTCAAAACTATAGGAGAAACCGCATTACTCGTGATTGAAGCCATGATTAGAGCCATACTGATATTCCTAATATCTTTGACGCAGGAGTAATCAATCACACATAGAAAGCTGTAAGCGTGAGAATGGCAACGCTTGACATAAGATGTATCGGAATTTGAGTTCCTTCACCAACTCTATCTTGAAGTCTCCATTGTCATTATATTCGGCTCAGAGCCTCATGGGTCAATCTCATCTATTCTTCGATTCTCGTGTGTAAAGAGGAAATGCGTAAGTACAGTCCGGAATCTTCAAAAGAGAGATAAAGGCGCTGTAGTAAATGATCTTGCTCGAGGAAAGATACAGTTACATGTCGTTGTGTAATATTGAGGATTTAAAGGAGGTTCAAATAATGTCGTAAATCCTCACGAGGAGGTTGATTTGATAGAGGGTCCTCCTTTGCTTGCTTGTAAAATCTTACTAATGTGCGAGGCTGCACCATCCGTCCTTCTTATCATACCTCGGAGCCAAGATTCGCCGATCCATGTGGGAATTGAGCAAACGCATGTTGACCAATGGATAACAGATATCAAATTGTCCACCTGCAAGGCTGATCTTTCCAAGATTCACATTGTAGACACAAGATAACTTACGTGAAGTCATTCGTTCCTGTCTTTTCTTGTTATTCTTCGCATGAAACAAGCTTCACCAATCATTTTGCATGCTTTCACTCCTACTTGACAATGGAACTGCAAATTTCAAAAGCCTCTCTGCGTACTAATGGATCTATCAAACACTGATCGTGCAGGTGAATCGGAAACTCCAAAGATACCACGGCAAAGACGCTTAAAGCGTAAGAACCTCGCAGAATCTCCAGTGCGATCATCGAAGCCTTCTCAAAAGTGGTCGAAGAAGAAAGAGGATACTCCTCCCTTGTATGAAATAAATGGCATATTAGATGAGCGACAATCTGGCAAAACTACGAAATTTCTGATAGATTGGAAAGACAATCCAGAAACAGGGGAATCTTACGAACCGACCTGGGTATGATTGATGAAACTTATACCAACACATATCAAAGCGCTCCCAACTGACCAGTGGATGCTTCTAGGAACCCTATGCCAATATTACCGAAGCTGCAATTTATGAATGGGAAAATCGATCAGCCATACAAAATCACAATTCTCAATCACAAGATAGCGAACCTATACGGCCGGCGAAACGAAGAAGAACGAACAATACTGAAGCTTCCGTTTTATCAAAGAAAAGACAAGAACATAATTCCAATAGAGCCGTTGGAAAGAGAGTCGGAACGAAGAACAAGATCCAGGAGATCAAGGATAGTTACGAGGACCAAGATTCAGGCCCTGGAAATGGTCTTTCAATTGTGATAACTCTCAATAAAGATATAAACCCAAACGAATATACTGTCATCAGGTCATCTCAGCTATCAGATTACTCAAACTCTCCGGAACATTTACAAGCGTCCTCGCCTTTGCAAACCCAAGATTCACCAGATTCTCAAACAGTATTGCCACGTAGAAGATCAGCTCCGGCGTTTATTTGGGACGAGGATATTGAACCAGACTCTCAATATTTATCTGGTTCTACTCCGTACCATCCGTCCATTCCGAGGAGCGCAAGTGACAGTGAAGACCTTCGATCGGTACGACCCGAGACTTCGGACCGAACCCGGAAAGGTATTAGCCGTAGTATTCTTGGAATCACACAACATAACGTTAAGGAGCAACAAAAAGGTTTTAGTAATAAAGTAAATCAAAACGAGTCGTCTTTAAAATCTTCAATTCCGGACAGTTTTCTAATTGATAACTCATCCTCATCCATTGATCAGAATTCCGCCCCACCGGTATCCTTGACACCACATCAGCATCTAAGATCGCAACCCCCCTTAGAACCTGCAGCCAGTGAGATACCATCTCAACAACCCCCCGTCACGGATCTCTCCACAGCGTTAAATTCTTCGATATCTAACTCTCAAAGTATTTTTAATCAATTCTCAGAAGAAGAGGAGAAAGAAGAGGAAGAAGAAGAAGAAGAAGAAGGAGAAGAAGAAGAAGAGCGGGAGACAGATCAATCTGAGACTCGGAAGCGATTACAATCACAATCACAATTGTCGTTGGAGATACCTGATTCGTTTCTTGTGAGCGATACACCTACCAAAAGGTTAGATTATAATTCCTTATTCTATAGAATTGTGTTTCGCATTATTCTTCAAGACACTGTCATGCGATCAAAACTTACAACATCATTTTTAGTTCTCAAACCCAAGGCGTGGAAGCGCACATTAGTAGTCAAGACCGTGCTTCTTCTTTGCCTACTGGTCAATCTCAACCCGAAATTGTGCTTTCCGATTCTCAACGTTCTCAATCACTTCCCTCGGCCACAAACAATAACTCAAGCTCAGAAGAAACTTGGCAAGCTGCACAAATCGTCACTCAAGTTCCTAGAACTTTATCGCAAGACCCTTTTGGTGGAAATTCCCAGTCACAAGGCTCTAAAGACCACGTGCAGGTTGATAATTCCCAAGTCTCGAATCTTGCACCCACAAGTCCGGAGCTTGACCATCACGATCTTTCAAAGTCAAACTCTGTACCAGAGGATCAGCGCGCTAACATTAACCGCGTTGCCCGCACTGAATATCCTGAAACGCAGCCCTCCGGTCCCGAGCCTCCCGCAGGAGCGCAAGTAGTAGATAGTATCGAGTTCGAAGCAGGTCTCCACGACGCCCAATTACAGTCTCAAGAACCGCTATTCTCTCAAGATCCGGTAGACTTAACTTGGCCTAGCAGTGGTGACTTGCCGGCAATAGCGTCGTCTCCCACTAAGATGTCAGCTGCTTCTCATCTTGCCGTTGGCGAGAGGAGAGCGAGGTCAACAAAGTCCAGATCTCCATCGACCTTGCCTCCACGAGTAGCAACTGCACCGCCAACATCCTCGACCAATCTTCCATTACCCATGCGGGATAACATTACTGATGTATCGAAGCCGCGCAATAGGGCAACCTCTATGCCAAGAGCTTCAATTGAATCTTCAAGCACGAGTCCCAACGTTTTGACTGTGCGCAAACTGGGACGAAACGAATTCATTATTCCGCTGCCAATGATGAATCAAGTTCGTGAAGTATACGATACTACCATCAGAGATAGAAAAAACGATATTCTATCTTTCTTAGGGGGGTCGCCAACAGCAGCAGATTCAGAAAGCATGGATTTGATGATTGAGGAATTGAAATTAATATGTGATCATCAAGATTTAATAGTGGAGGAGTCTTCGACTCAGAGCCTAGATGACAGTACCCAAGCTAGATACGCTGTAACTATCAGCACCAAGTTCTTGTTTGTTCAACAGTTCCTGGACTCACTTCGATCAACTAAGGTTCATGTGGTGATATTAGCACGAGAGATGATTCTACCTATTCTTGAAGCACTCTTCAGATATAGGGAGTACAATTACAGCCGCCCTGATATATCTGGGGCACCAGAAAAGTCTACAAAGGATTCGATGCAGATCACACTACTTCCTACGTGGATCGATGTTCGTGATTGCCTTGTCGCTCCTGCTTCCGTGGTTTTGGCATTTGACTCGTCGTTCCCGACCTTCGAAGTAAGAGATGAATATCACCAGATTCTGCCTCTCGACCCCAAAAATCCAGAAAAGCGCGTGCCTTTACTATGGCTTGTCACTACAAACTCTGTTGAACACATCGAACTATGCATTCCCACTAGAGGATCATTAAGACGTAAAAATAAGTTAGTCCAATACATCACCCAAACTCGAAAGGTCGTCGGTCGTTTAGATACGACTGTCTATCCTGAGCCACAACAGGCCGCCAGAGCAGCTGCGGAGTACATTCTTGAGGATCCGATGGAAGTTTCCTGGCCCATAGTGCCCATGCCAGATATCGACATTCCTTTGCCTGGTTATGGAGCTTTCAACTGTCGATCGGATTCATTGACACAATCTTTGTTTTCGCCAACTGAACCAAGAATACAATCCGGTTTCAAGCGACCGTCTGTAAGTTTATTCTTGCTTTATTTCATGACATAGCATGATACTAACTATTTTAGGATTTTGATGCTGTAAACGAAGATACTGCGTTCAAGCGCCAGCGACTTACACCCACAAGACATGGTAGAGAGCTTGATTTGAATACTACGAACGGGAACTTGGTGGAGCTCAACAAAGAATTGAAAATATTGCGTGGTCGATGCGAAGATTACGAAGGAAGTATCAAACGAATTCAACCAAAATTCCAGCGAGCCCTTGACGAGAGAGCCCGATTTGAGCACGAAAACGCCCAAGCCGTGAAACGTCTATCCGAGTACGAGAGGAAATTGGAAATGCAAGGTAGTGCAGCCGCAAAGCTTCGTGAAGAAAACACATCGTTGAAAATTGAGCTTGCCGTTGCTCAAACCTCTCTTGCCACCTCTGCTGTTCCCTCCGTAGCTGAATTTCAGAAAACGAAAGATGAACTCCGTGATGCACAGGCTGAAATCGAACGTCTCAAGAAAAATCACGCGAGTGCAGAAAAACGAGCTGATTATGCAGCGTCTCTCTATCAAGAGCACTCCCAACAAACCCACGAAATGCGCAACCAGCTTGAAGCCCTCCGATCCGAACGCAAGGGTCTTCAAAGCGAGGCCTCTGCCGCCCGTGTCGAGATCCAAAAGGTCAATCACGACGGAATCATACAGCAACAACTTGATTCCATCAACGAGCTCAAGAGAGAACTTGCAGAACGAGAACGAATGCTAGAAAGCGTCAGTAGGCAATTGGAATCATACCAGAACGGACGCAGAACAACACGCGGCACAAGTGTTCCAAGAAGTCCGAGAACGAATAATATGAGTCCGAGACCGAGAGTGATTGGCAGCATGGCACCGGGGAGCAATACGGCTAGCAGAGGAAATAGCCCAGCGCCGGGTATTTTTGCTGGTGATCTGTTTCAGGGCGGTGATGCGGGAAGAAGATTTGGTGCTCATTTGCAGTAAGCTGGATGGATAATTCGCTCGAGAATAGGTCTTCAGGTCTACTTTTGGATCTCGAGGATGAGGTCTACGGTTGATGATGAAAATATACTAGGTATTCAATCAAAGTTTTGTACATGGAGGATACTAGGATGGGTGGACAATATGCAGCGCGGCGATGAACTCGGAATTTCGATCTGACAACACAAATGGGCTGAGGGAGGAGATCTGAAAGATATTTACACATGGCGTCTTCTGCGTTTTCCGGATATTTGATTCTATTTCGTTTCGTTTTTCTATTTGCTTGCGATTCGATGGAGCGGGAGGAAATGTTGTTTTCGCGTATGCGTTTGCGTTGCATTTATCGGTAGCTAGAGACGTACACTAATACATCATTGGGTTAGTTAGTTAATAAGATAGTAGGGAGGACTGGATATAATGAGCACCTTTCATAATCACAATATCTACGTACATACTTGACTTGTGCTTTCGACAAGGAGAGAAGTATTTGCGAGGGCTTTGCGATACTATGCGCTGCCGTGGAAATTTTCAGCACGTGCAGCTCCCAACCCAGTTACATGACACGTTCTTGAACTAAAACAAACTCCGTATAAATTATTTATTGTTTCTATCTACCATCGCAAATGCTTATTATTTGCCCCGAGGGTCTACCTAGCTACCCTTGTTCCGCCCCAGCAAGCTGCAGAGATATTATTCTTTCCTTCGATCCTGTATTGAAGACCTAACCATCCAGCCAGTTATCCCAGTCCCTATTGATTTTCTCTCGAGAATGCCGTTCTCGCTCCCTATGTATCCGCTGTGCCAACTCCGACCAGCGCAATGCTATCCTTGACTCCTAGCGCCATCAAAAAACGCCTATCCATCAAATTAAAAAGTGATGGAGCAATACAACCCTAAGCAATTGTAGTATGAGATGAGCCTAAATTTAACATGCCAAAAAGACTCATTGGGTATGCCATAAAAAAAAGAATCTAGAACGCCGTTGGCTCCCGAAAAAAGAAATGTTTTGTTAGTGTCGGTGGAATCGATGATATTTCAGTGCTTATACTGAGCAATCATCTTTGCCTCCGCGGAATCTCGCCCGGACAACGATTTATTATTTACAAATCTTTCCATAACATGATCATGAAAGCGTTCTGAGGGATCGATATTTCCCGAGCTAGTATTTCGCCGTGCGAATTGTGCCATGTCAGGTGTTTTAATTTTTGAACGATCATGTTTTCGCGAACTAGCTACCAGCGGGGAAGGCGGAAATTGTTGAAGCTTTGAGAAATTATCATCAGATTCATCCAGAAGCATTGGGTCATCGCCAGTCAGATCCACCGCGTCCTCATTGAATTCTGACCCTGTTCGTTGTGCCAACTTCGAGCCACGCTGCTCTGGCGACGGAGAACGTAAAACTGTTCCATTCTGTCTCAGTTTTACATCACTTTCCGATTGTCGAGGTGAATTCATACCAGAACGCGATGGACTTTCCAAACCTTGGACATAGTCATCTCCTCGGGATTCGTGCGCAGGCAAAAGTCCTGAAACTTCACCTTGTAAGGCTGCCTGGCCCGTCGATTTGCCGAACAAATTGCAAATAGCATCAACAGCATTGCCAATCAAACTTGTACCACTTCGAGATTCAAGTTCAGTCGGTTCCTCGCCCTTATGAGACTCGTCTTCCTCGAGATCAATGATAGAGGGCTTCCTCCGTGGGTTTTGTGTCAACAACTGTTGATCCGCACCTTCGTGTGTTGTTTCTTGATCTTCTTGGGAATCACGAATCTCAAGGTGTATAGGAGGCTTGGAAGTATTGGCCACAGTATGAGCAGTCTGGCGAGGTTCTTTGTCACGAACTCTGGACCTAGGTCGCTCTTCAATTGGCTTATCATCTATAACGTTAACAGAAATTGATTCAGGGCTCTCTTGAGATTGTTCCTGAAGATTGTCCTGGCTATCACTTATATTGATAACCTCCTTGGCTTTTGACAACGACTTTAGAGAATTCCTCGCCTCTGTCGAGGTATCATCGTGATTACGACGTTCATTGAGAGTGGAGGCGTTAGCAATAGACTTTTGTCGAGCAATGTTGGGCTCAGGGCCAGACGCTGTTTGCGGCTTTGCCAGGTCAGTCTTATTAGCAGTCATAAAGGGAACATCTTTTCCCCTTTTAGCCTTTTCCGCTATTTTGGCCATTTTGGCTGCGTATTCTTCTTGAACTTGCTCCGCCTGAAGCTCGAGGAGAATATTGCGGATCTTAGTACGAAATGCAGGTGTATCATTCCGATCGCCATCAACTTCGTACTTGTTCTCCATGATATCTTCTATGAAACTATCAGGGCGTTCAAAGAATTCCTCAATGTAGCTTAGCAGGTACACGCCACAATCACAATAGTTGCCTTGTACAGGAAGACCTTTACCTAAATATCTTCCTGTGGCACTGTCTTTATCCTGTGTTTTTGCCGCCATACCAATGGGTTTAGGGGGTGTGATTGACATGCTTTTCTTCGCTTTAATTTCGGCGACCATGTAATCTTTTAGATTGCTACAAGTATTGGAGTGTTTCAAAGCAAGTGAATCGAAAGTGATAATTCTAGGCTGCTTTGGGTCATAGGTGCGGATTGGAGGAATTCTTTTGCCCTTTGTCGTGGAGTTTGACTTTGTCGGTGGCGAGCTCGATTGTGCTAGATCAATTACATTTGTGGCAGACTTGTCTGCGGCGGTATCATCCGGATCCATTTCCAATGAAGTAGTTGGCAATCCGTGGTGACTGGGCGGGAAACTTTTTGCAGGTTCGAGATCTATTGAAGCCCCGGTTTTCTCGCCATGTGCCAATGACAACTCTCCAAAGCTATTGTTGACACCAGTCTCATCTTTATCATTTACAGATCTCACGGGGGTAGACTGTGGTGATTTAGAGGGTGTGGTGAGCTTGCTTGCACTGCGAGACTCCATTTCTCTATCTTGTTCAGATTGCGCACCATTCTCGGTAGGTTGCGACGACTGCTTGATCTCTAGGTTGAGAAGCTTGGGCGCATTGCATATGATTGCCACATACCAGTGAGTGTTCTCATTGACGGGAACAATAATATAATCATAAGACAGAAGATCAACTTTCGCTGTCCATCTCTCAACAGCCTCATAGTTGATCCCTTTCTTGCCCTTTGCAGCCTTGGTCAAGCTTGCGTAAAAAAACGTGTTATGGACATAAACCCGAGTAGCCAGCTCTGGATGTTGCTGCTCGAGCCAGAGGAGATAGAACATGATAAGATTATCGTTCAAAAACTCTCCATTGTCAAGCCTGTAGATATCTTGCTTATCAACGGTAGCGGTCTTCTTACCGCTCTTAGGATATACCACCGATTTCTTCCAATTCTTTTCCCAGTCCCTATTGACCTCTGACCAACGTTCTGGGCTGGGACTTCTTGCCTCAGAGGTCGGTTTGTATGACTTGGGTCTCTCAGCGCTTCGTAATGAAGCACGAGTTTCATTGATTTTGCTCAATGGTGTGTAAAACTCGGCGGGTTCAATTGGATCGGAATTATCATTCTTATTTTGTTGAGATGGCTGCGTCTGCATCTTTTCATGAATTTTTTGCCTCTTTGCTCTTGAGAGATTGTAATGTTGTGCTTGCTGATCGTCATGCCCAAGCAATTGGGTTCGCTGTGCCGTTCGTCTGTCTTGATTTGACGTCAAGAGTTGAACGTCTTCAGGCTGGCTTTCAGCTCTGCTTCGTTTGTTGGCTGCTTGGTCAGTTCTCTTGTCGAGTTTTTCGCGGGTATGATGAAACCTTTGATCGATTTCAGAACTAAATGGTTTATTAGCTTGGGAGATCAACAATAAGGATCAAGGTTACGAACGATTCCACCCATTTAATTTCAGCATCTTTTAGAAATGGCTTGATTGACTTGAGGAAGTTTTCGATTTCCAAGATTCCGGAAAATTCTATGAGCATGTCGGGGTCTTTCATGGGACCAATCCCTTGGGACTTTCGGATAATCAGTTTACAGGAGTCAAGTCCAACCGTCATTTTGAGGATGGCATTTGCGTTGATAGAGAACCCTGTAATGATTTTCTTATCGTCACCCATAAGTCCCAATATACCGGATTTGTCCAGATCCACGCACTGCTTCTGCATTTTACCTGGCCGATGCCAATAAAAACTTGGGGAGAAGAGGCTTTCAACCCTGAAAGATCTCCTGTGGTCCCGTTGTTGTAATTTTTGGTCGTTAGATCTACCGCTGCCCCATCTCGTCATGTCACCCCTTCTATCAAGGCTCGATTGCTTGTCGATATCATCCTCACCGTCGTTGTAGTTGACTTCCGGGTTTTGACGCGATTTATTGGCCCGTTTTACATGCGATACCTCGGGCGGGTTTCCTTGCGAGAGCTCATCCTCACTGCCGTCCTCTAGTTGCAACTCTCCCAATACACGTCTCGTTTGTACAGAATTGGATGGATTGCGCTTTTCGAGTTGCGAATTTGAGACGTACGACGATTTATGGAGTCCGCTTGCTCTCGAACGTGGAGCTTGGTGTGCGACTGGAAGGTGTGCATTGCCACTAGACGGAATTACAACTCGAGGAACGGTCTTTGAGCCAGAGTGTGGAGCTTGTAGCTCATCTTCTTCATTAGAGATAGGGTCTCTAATGTCCTCCAGATGTGAACCGTTTGTAAGTCTCTTAGCGTTGGCGGTCTGTTGTGCTTTAAAACCAGCATTTCCGTGAGTGTGACTCTGGCTTTCTGAATGGTGGTCAGAGTTAACTTTATGCCTCTTGCGCTTGTCCTTTCGCGGCTTCACTAAGTCATTGACCGCTTGGTATTCAGCTACGGTGTACGCTTCAAAAGACTTGACTTTTGAGCGAATGCCATTTTCTTGGTGAGGCGAGCTATTGTACTGACTCTGTATGGGTATCTGGCTCACAGGTCCCTGACCCTGATTTGCTTCATGCTCAAACTGATTCGGCCCGCTGCCTGTTCCATTGCTTAGAGGTGCTTGCTCTGTTTTTTGCTTCTTGTTGGGTCGTTCGGATTGAAGATTGAAGGGCTCTAATGACCGGGTGTGTGAATATGAAGGAGTATTTTGTGCATTTCCCAGCCTGTTCACAGGTTTTTTGCCTCCATGTAAAGCAGGTCTAGTCTTTTAAATGTCAGCTAGAGGGCATTGTATTGGCAGTGTGGCAGAACATACCATCTTTGCACCGGTCTCTTTGTATGCTTTGGAAGATTGCGCCGTTGGAGAACTGCAGATTTTCTCCGTTAGTAAAAGAACGAACACTAGACGGACTGCAGAGGAAGTATTATACATTCGGGTGCTGGTATTTTTCCAGTAGCGGTTTGCAAACATCCTATATATTTGGTTAGCACATACTCAATTTGAAGTACACTCGTCTGCCAAACTCATCATACCACTTGTCCGGCTGCACAATCTTGCTTGAGTCCGTATCTCCTTCCTTTGGCGCATCATCAACCAAAGTTGTTGGACTTCAAGGATTAGTTATGCGCCAAACCAAAAAAGTGTGTGGCTTGTGAATTTTTCAGAGTAAGCATACCTGTGATCGTCTAGGCCATCAAGATCATTTATGTGTTGAACTATTGGCTTCTCGTTATTTGCATTACATATTTCGATGTTCGCAAGATTGGAAACTTTTTGGAAGTGGATGTTCTGCAGGCGGGCGCGCGCATCAAATATTAGCTAAAAGCAGCGGGGCTAGCCGAGAGATTTCAATGATAGTCAGATAGCATATAGCCTTGTGGCCGAAATGCGATAAGATTGCAGCAAAAAGAAGACGACATGAGAAAACAAACTTACACTTGTCTCTGGCTCTTCCGAGTCATCTATATGGGAGATGGAAGTATCTGATACCAATTTGGACTCAATACTTTTTCGCCGAAACCCTTTGTCTATCCTAACTTCATAGTGTCCATCTGTCTCGGAAACATGTTGAAGATTCATTCGGGGGTGATGGATTTTTGAGACCGTTGATTTCGAGCTGATAGATTCAATAGCATCGATCAATAATGGTCTAGGAAGTGGTATCTGCGCTCCTTCACTGCTGCGTCTTTCATAGATACACCGTTGCTGACTTGTCTGGTGGTGGTTGTTATTGGCAATGAAAACTTTTGAGTTTGTTTCGAGAGGTTGAACATCCTCATAATTTAATGAGGTTCTGGTAATAATCAAGGCTCGCTTCTGAGTGGTTGCTTTTGAAGTTACTTCGGCGTCATCAGATTCCGAACTATCCATGACCACAAGATTTATCGCCTTATTCTTGGAGAGTGGTCCTTCGTACTGTTGAAGAATACCGTCTATTTCATCCGTATCTGAGTTTGGAGTTGAGATGGTGCTGTTGTTTGATTCTTCAGAACTTCTTGATCCGTTACCATCTTGGCATTTCCTCCACATCAGCGGCCTGAGAATAGAACCCATATTGCTCAATCGCCGTTCACTTCCTATTTGTTGATTCTCTCTTGGATTCCTTGGACAAGTTGTTCTCCCTAAAGGAAATTTGTTAGCGGTGAGCCTATTCTCTTTGAAGTTTGAAGGAGATGCATTTTTTCCTGCTGCATACAGAACAATTTGGTTGTCATTCAAGGTACTGACTTGACGATGATATTCTCTCCAGTGGCTTGTTGTCTTTCTGGGGACTTTGGGCTGGAAAGTGCAGTTTTTGTTCTTGCAAGCCTTTGAAGTGAAAGGTTGTAAGGTAAAGGAAGGTGAGAACAACACACGCTGTCGCAAAAGACCGAACTCCCGAGATAGACAGAAAGTTAAAAAGAAGAACTTACAGCCGGTTTCTTAAAAAGATTTTCTATTCCAGAAACCAAATAGCTTGCAAATGCGTAGTTTTCCGGGACTGTCAAAAGGTACTTGAGAAGGAAAAACAGCTGGAAATTTTGACTTGTCGCAGAACACAATATTTCTGAAGTTTGTGAATTTGAAGATCAGGCAATTAAGAATGGCAGCAAACCCTTCGGGTATGAAATATTCACAGTGAATACTTGCTGTCCCTCGACCAACCACGGGCCGCCTTTCGAGCAAACAGTCCAGATGAGAACGTAATCGAGCACTTCCTATCTTCAATCTGATTTTCACTTTAGAAAGATACTTTGTCTGTTTACACAGAGTCTACCGTAGAGCAACCAAACACAGTTCCGGGTAATCAATAGAAATCACCAAGCTACACAATCTACTGAGAGTTTTGTAATATTGTAACTGAGTCCAAATCTAATTGCATTCTTATATCATACACACATTGCCCGGAAGGGAAGAGATTAGAAACAACGCACCATAGGTCAATACAATCCCAAGAAATGTGTGTTGAAGGCATCCAAGTCAGCAAGCAAGAACTGGTTGATCTCAATGTATAACCACTAACCAATAATAGCGGATTTGGATCGAATCCTCGAGCTTGAAAATGAGAAGTATGGAATGAGTCATGATACATAAGAATATTCATGTATCAAGCCTTTATATCCTTTTGCTTGACCTGTCTAACAATGTTTCCACACCAACCCTGAATTGAGTTCCCCATGAACATCCGTCGGACATCTTTGAAGTCTAACTACTTCAAATAAAAAGATCACCTGAACATATTTCAACTTCGAGGAGTTTAAGACCATCTTGAAGCTCCCTAACCCCCTCCCCCAATTCTCAGTCGCCATATAATCCATCTAATCGAGAGTTGTTTCCATAGAACTGTGGGCTGGTATTAGTAACAAATATCAAAATCCTCCTTATCACTGAATACGATGGCAATTGACAGGTCTTCTCCAAACTGGTGGGTGGTGGATTGTGATTCTTAATACAGCTGTACAGATAAGAAAAGTCGCAATTCAGAGCCATGAAGCACTCTGTCCATCTATTCCCAGTATCATTTCCCCTCCATCTACAAAGCTCTTCCCTCCTTCACCATTATCATCATCTATTTAGACTCTGGGAAGAGGTCCTCCTTCAAGCTCACACCTAATTCCTCACGGAGAGGCTTAAGTTCCTCCAAATATTGGTCGTATTGGCCACGGTTCTCGACCTTTGCCTTGATACCTATGTATGATGATGTCAGCCCTATACCCCTCCTCAACTATGCCTAGTATCCACCCCACTTGCGAAATGCAAAACAAACAGTACATACCCTCGAAGATTCGTACGGCTGTAGGGTAATCGTTAACTCTTCTTGCGGCTTTTAATGCGGCAACGACGACGGATGGGGAAGGTACGAGATCGTAGGCAAAAGCGTTGTTGAGGTTTCTCTATACAAGAAAGATCATACGATAATTAGCACTCTGTAGATATACGTGTAGAGAACGTGGGGAAGAAAGAAAGTAATGAGGACTGCACATACCTGGAGCTCGAAGACATCTTGAACTTGCTCGAATTCCTTCTCATATCTATCCGGTCATTAGCCAACCTTGGTACTGCATGTTGATCTCCCTTCGGCTGGTTTCGGTTGTGTGGGAAACATGCTCAAACGCGAGCAATATGCCCCTCCAATTGAAACCCGACATACCTAGCTGTGAATTCCTCGAAACTCTCCTCGTGGTGACCAGCTTCTTGCCCGTCCTTATCGGCAGACAAACTACGGCTGGTGGTGCTGAAAGAGCTGGCAGAAGTTGCGCTCATTGTTGGGGCAGCACGGGGAGTGAAGCTTCGGAGTCCATTGGATCTGAAAATAGCCGATGGCTGCGCGCGCGTAGCAATACGCAGAATTCTAGTTGACGACATTAGGAAAAGCTGTTGTGGTGAGGTTATTCGGTATTTCGTGGACTTTCGACGGGTTTGAAGTCAAAATTGCACAGTTTCGACAATTTCCAGACCAAGTCAATCCATGTGCTGTGATTGGTTCTGGATATTGCTTAGTCATAGCCTCAGCACCCGAGGCCTTGAATAATGTTGATGTCAGGTCATTTCAACTTTCGAGTATCCCACCTCCACTTTTACCTGTATGTTTATGGTACATTGTTGCTCTTTCTAATATTCCATCTTACATGGAATTTGATTTTCACAGATCAATTCCAGTTCTTGAGAATCATCATGAGCTTAATGTATGATTTAATAGCACTTCTCGGAAATTCACCGCATGGGTGACAGATTCGACTAACTCATGATTATCTGTCTTGACAGATTTGACAGATTGACTAGGTACTAGTATCCTAGAGTTTACGGCTGGATTAGCAACATAAAGGTCGTCGGCTGCATTTTTGTCATGACACAATACGGCTTTTTTCTTCTCTCGAACCAGTACCCGGTGTTTACTTCAATGGCATTTTTAGAACATACTCTCAAGTATCGAGACTATTCCCGAATATCCCGGTGCGTCTTCCATCTAGAATATCATAAATACGTGATCTTTCACTACAAACTGCTTCGTCTCCTCCATTGACAAGATGTAGAAACCTTTAACCGGCTACTATGATAAAAACAAATGCACTAACTTCATGACGAACCGAGGTCATCGTCAACATACAGTATAGGACATACTCTCTACAGTCTTTTTTGGTGCCAAGAGTGCGAATATCGTTTACGAGCTCAAGCTCCATAGCACTCCGAGCATCTCCACACAACGGAAGGCAAGGCGGCTTGACCGATTAGCATGGAGTCTATATCGGTGAATCATTGAATTGTGTGGTAGGTAGGTAGGTAGTGACTCGCAATCGGTGATTCTCGAGCTTTTAGACTATCTGAAGCAGCTTCTACGGAGTTTCTCAGCCCACGTCTTTCCCAGGTAACAGAGACTAACAGGTCAGAACAAATACTCGTGATGGCTTTCTGCTAATTTCAATTGCTAATGTTGTATGTTATTAGCCCAACTCCTATCAGGGTTTCTAGGAGCGTGTTAACTCGCTAGAGAAAGGGTTGGGGATATTAAGGTTTGCTTGAGCCGCATCAACTGCCATATATGTGCGATGTTAACGAGATTACAGATAAGTAGACGATGGAGAATCCATTAGATTTCCTTTCTTTAGTGATTTTGAACACAGGGTAACCTAGGTGAATGCATTCATGTTATGATACTATTTTTAAACCGTCTACTAGAGATTGTTGTTCTAGCTACTCGCTATGTATATATCTACCCTCTAGCCAGCCAACCAATATCACCATATGTCACTGTCTGTTGGTCTATTCTGTCGCTGCAACCATGTATCCTCACTCGAGCACGCAATATCATCAAAATGCCATATGACAGATGGAAGCTTCCACGGAGAAATCAAGTGTCCACCCTTGTTCCTTGAATCCTGAGGTCAACTGTCAAAGTTTCAACGGCTCTTATACGCGGATGAAAATCCAAGTACAAAATTACCAAAACGTTGTTGTTAACATGAATTGGAATTCCTCAGCCAGTCACAATTGATTATATGTTCCCACCTATGTAGCTTTTGACAATTCTAAAAGAACCATTGGTTACAGCCAAATGCTTGGAAAAGTCGGTGATGAAATGATACGTAGGAAGAAGCATGTAGCATGTGAAATTCTTCCAAATCCAATCTCGGTAATGTCTCCCCGTTCCCGACCCCTTTAAGAAAAAAAGTAAACTAGTTGACAGTTCTTCATCTGTTTTGGCAGGAACACATCAAAAAGGAAACTTTTTCTTTCCCTTCACTTCCCTTTACTTCAACCTTAAGACAGTTCCCATTTCTCATTAAGAAGCGACTTTTCTAGAATTGTTTCTCAAGATTCTTTTAACCTTTTCCCCAAACTTCTTGTGCATCGTTATTCTTCTCATTAGACTACCGGGGATTCTCCTAAAGGATATTAATTTATTCACTTCTATTCCCTTCACTCGTCATTCATTCATTCATTCATTGAGTTTTTTAATACTTTTATGTCTTGAATTCATCCAGAGAGACTCAATCTTCCGTTGTCGTCGTCTTAATTGAAAGAAGATTGTTGTTTATAAGTTGCCTTTTCGCGCTGTAAATAACTTCTCGCTCTAGCGAATTTCCACTTCTTCGAAAAGAACACGCGACATCTTAATAGCACTGTCGCACATCCAATTAAGGTCAACAATACATCAATCACAATCGCAGTTTTGTCGTTATGTCGTCAAGTGGATTAGATATGAAGGCATTCCCCTTCCCATCAATTGACAAGCCATTCGGTGTTGAATTATGGCCAATCTTCGATAAAGTATTCACCGCGGTGAAAGGTTACCATCCTCAAGACTTCGATTTCCAACCACGAGTTACACCTATGTCAACATTGAAGGAGAGTGGCTTCACAATTCTGGCATACTATGTAATAATATTCGGTGGAAGGGAGTTAATGCGAAATCGACCAGCCTTCAAACTGAATGGTCCTTTCATGATTCACAACTTTTACCTTACAGCTATCAGCGCCATCCTTCTGGCACTCTTTGTTGAGCAATTGGTATCCACAGTTTACAACCATGGTCTTTTCTATGCCATCTGCGATGTCAGAGGTGGTTGGACTTCTCCCTTGGTTATTCTCTACTATGTAAGTTCTACTTGGGACGAGATCGGATTAATATGATTATGCGGCTAACATGGAGTAGCTCAATTACCTCACCAAATACCTCGAATTGATTGATACCGTTTTCCTCGTCTTGAAGAAAAAGCCATTAAGTACGTAGCCGCAGCTTTGCGATCCATGCCTTGTATAAATGCTAATGTTTTGTGCAAAGCTTTCCTTCATTGCTATCACCACGGTGCCACTGCTCTCTTGTGTTACACTCAACTTATTGGATTGACATCCGTGTCATGGGTCCCAATTACCCTCAACCTCATGGTTCACGTTGTTATGTACTGGTACTATTTCCAAAGCGCGCGTGGAATTCGCATTTGGTGGAAGGAATGGATCACCAGACTCCAGATTATTCAGTTTGTCATTGATCTTGGTAAGGCTGCACAATCTCCAATTAGCCACATATTACATTTTTCAGCTTGCTAACAGACTCTTCACTTTACAGGCTTCGTTTACTTTGCATCCTACACCTACTTCACATCAACTTACTTCCCCAACATGCCAAGCGCAGGTCACTGTGCTGGTGAAGAATTTGCAGCTTTCGCTGGTATGGGTATTCTCAGCTCTTACCTTTTGCTCTTCATCTCCTTCTACTTCGCAACCTACAAGAAGGATGGAAAGCGCCCCACGGGTCGCAAGGCTGCTCGTTCCTTGGTCGATGCCAAAGTTCCGGATGTCGCCACACTTACACACGGAAAGATCAATGCAAGCCCTGTCAATGCTCGTGCAACAGGCGTAAGCCCAGCTCGTCCAGCGACCCGCTCCCGCAAGGCATAAATCTGCACTTCGGGATACGACTCTACACAATCGGTACGACCGGGACAGTCGATCCGATTATGCGACAAATGATAATGGATAGTCAACTCGCAGCCTCTTTCGAAGCGAGTACACAAACTTCTTGAGAATGAAAAATTCTCCTTGTATAATGGTTTTTTTAGGAGTGGCACGACACAGAGTGAGACGTGGCGTCGCTTCTACAACTTTTTATCTATGTTATGGAAAGAAATACACATAAGTAATGAATGCCATTGCCAAGCAAATGACAGGATGGGCGGCTTGGGCGGACCTAGAAAAAGAACAATTCAGATTTCAACAACCCTATTTTAAAACTTAGTACTTCCTTCTTAATATTCGTTTCTTGTATGTTGTAGGGCAATATGGTTGGTTGTCATTCAATGAGTTAAGATATCGGCGTGTGGGTGTGGTGATGGGGAAAATGAAGTGAACGATAGCATAATAGACAGACGAAAATTTCATGAACCATTTACTTGTGTATGGGTGTGTGCTTATCATTTGTAGTTTGTGATTTTGAATCTGTTGATGGTCATTGAAAGGTGGTGAGTGTGAGAACACAGAGTGAGAGTGAGGGAAGGACATGAGATTCAAGCCTCGAGGTAGTTAGTTGACTTGACTTGGAGGAGGTTAGTATGTGGTGTGGGGAAGTTGCAGAGCTAGCTGCAGGTTTTATATATCTATTATCTACTATCTCTGATGGATTTCCGTTGTCCCATACGCTTTTCTCAATATTTCAGCTCTGTATCTTTACTTGACATAGGGACAGCAATGGATCATGGATAGAGGTGGTCGAGGAGGTATATTGCTTCAGTGGAAATTGTGCCGGCCAGTGGGCGCTGTATAGGATTTTTACAATATACACAGATGGGGGGCGGTCGTTGGGGTTGGGAATGAGTGGTATTCCGAATGTGAGGGGGGAGGAGGGGGGGAAGGGTGAGGTATTTTTGGACATCTCGGTGTCATGGTAAGTTGAAATTTGATGATTGAGAAGAATTGAGTAACCAAAATCCAACCCACAATCAAGAATAATCAAAGATCCAAATCCCATTCATCCTGAAAGATAGACAGACATCATGGTCAGATAATGCATGTTGCAACTCCGTCTAGTTTATCTAGGGATTCCTCGAGGGTTGGATGGGACGTGTATACGGGTAGGTAGGTCTTTGGGGATTGAGATATATTAGAGGATGGAGGATAGAGATTAGAGGGTAGAGAACACGAAATGATGATCCAGGAACACTGCTTTAGAGACAGGCTGTTTTGGGTTGGGAACGTATTCGGAAGTGATTGTGGGAGGGGATCGAGGGGAGTATCCACGGATGTATTTTTGGAGGGAGAATAAATTAACGAATGGGGAGGTTTTCTAGAATGGGGTGAATGGGAATTTGAATTGTAGATGATGGAGGGTTTGAGGATAGAGCGATCGTGGGCAGAGCGCTTTACGCGATATTGGTTGTTGTTGTTGTTGTCGTTGTTGTTATTGTATGCAGGTTGGGCGGCTGATTTGATGATGTACGGATATGCGGGTGTATAGTATGGGGAATGTGAAAGCGGGAAGGGGAAAAGTTGGGGTTGGGGTTCAGGATTTGGGATTCGAGGCTTGGGGTTTAGTGACAACATATGATGTTCTATGCTGAATGAAATATCAAACATCCCTTGTAAAGCGTACATACATACACAACAGGCTCTACATAGACAGATATCTTCGACGCCGTGTCCTCTACAAAATATATATTCCAAAGAAGTATAACCTATAAAGCCTCACTCAGGCTACCAACAACTTCCTCCGCAGTGCCTCGTCCAAGTAAGCACATCTTACATCAAAATCCAAATCCAAGTCCATCATCCCAGTACCGTGGTTCAGGTACATGTATGTAAACTCATGCTCGAGAAATGGCTGCTTATGTGTTACGTTCACGGAGATCATTGTGCCATCTTACTCTCGAGTCTGGAGTCTTTCTTAAACTCCGCTTATGGCTGAGAGATGGTGGCGATATAGGCGAGGTGTGCTTACACATGGTAATAATAGGAATAATGACGCTGCTGACTGTTACTATTCAGATCTTATTTTAGTGTCTGGTTCTAGGTGGTGATTATGTATAAAATATTGAGTGAGGAGGGGTAATTCTTGGAAGAGGATTTGTATGTTCAGCTCAGCTCGATGGTATGGGGTAAAAAGGCACACATGGTGAGAAGTCCGAA